TGTGGCCCCTGCGTCTCCTTCTCACTTCATCTGACACCACCAACTTGTTCTCCCTCTGATGGTGGGCTAGGTAGGGAGAGAGCAGGACCAAAAGCACCCAAAGTGTGCGGTTACCCTCAGGGTCCTGATCCCCACCTCCCTTCTCCCCCTCCCAACGCCCCCTGAAACCACCACCACTGTAGTCTGGGCACTCTCTCACTAAAAGACTCTCGATGACTCCCCAGGGCCCAGTCCTCTCTCCTAAGGTGCATTCCCTCTCTCCAAAGCTCTGCTTCCACACCCACCAGAAAACTCACAGCAGGGATCAGAATTCCTCACTGGAGTGTCCTACTGTTTCTCCCCAGCACCACGGGCTTATGGGTTACCGCAGGTACCAACACTTCTCTATTCTCTCAGTTTCCTTTTTTCCTTCCCCCTTTTTCCAGCTACATCCCTCCAACCACCACTTAAGAAAACCAGGTGGTGGTCCCCACCTCACACTCCCCCATTCTCAGCCCTCCCTGGCTTCCCCCAGGGCCACCTCCCACTCCCAGTTGTCAAGTCCATCACCGGAAAGGTGCCAACTTGGCCTTTAGCCCCTGGCCACAGACAACCCTGATGAGTCAGGCAACCCTAATAAGTAACGAGCACCCTGAGCTCTGGACGGCCCGGTGATGTGGGCAGTGATCCCGGTCTCCTAAAAGTTACTGTGAAATAAAAGATAAATGGGCATTTTCCCCAAAATCACTTTCCCGTTGTTGCAATTAGTGAAAGCCCAGGATTCAGTTCAGGGTCCAGGCAGAGGCCCCCCGGTCTGGCGGTTTCCGTCCGCTATCAGCCCCGGGCGCGCCCCCTCCCAGAGTTGGGTGCTCTTGGGTTCAAAGCCGGAGTCCAGCACTTCCCTGCGGGGAGTCCAACCAGATGCAGGGCCCTCGGGAACGTCGCTGGGGCCCGGGGAAAGCGCTCGGGCCCCGCCGCGCCCACCTGCTGCGCGCGGCCGGAGAGCAGGGTCGGCACTGTCACCGGGATGGACCCGGAACCCGCGGAGAAACCGAAACTTGGCCCCCGGATTAGGAGGGGGCCGGCCCGGACGGCGGCCGGACGCGACGCAAAGGGACGCAAGCGCCGCTCCCCGGCAGTGCCTCGGGCCCGGCCGCCGCGACCCAGGACCAGACTCAGCAGGACCCCTGATCCGTGGGACCCTCGCGCACCTACAGGAATGGCACTCTGACCAGTGGTACAGCTCGTAACCGGGGTAACTTGCGCCCTGCACTCACGGGACCCGGCATCCCTCCCTGTAACCCGCATTTCGCCCCTCAAGACCTGCGGCCAAGGTGCCCGCGCCCGGGCCCTGCAACTATGCACCCCAGCCCGGCGCGCCAGCTCTCACCTCGGCGGCTCCCGAGCCCACTCTGTCGCCTGTAGGCAAGGTTTCGTTTCTCTAGTCCTGGGTCCCGCCCCTCCCGCTTCGGCAGGCTCTGCGGAGCTAACGTGGGTGTGGCCGGAATTCCCGGTCGAGTGGCGCCCTCCAGTGGACCCGGAGCCAGGTCCTGTTCAGTTCTGTTCAGTTCAGTTCAGTCGCTCAGTCGAGTTCTTTTGCGACCCCATGGACTGCAGCACGCCAGGCTTCCCTGTCCATCGCCAACTACCAGAGTTTACTCAAACTCATGTCCATTGAGTTGGTGATGCCATCCAACCATCTAATCCTCTGTCGTCTGCCGGGGTCCAGCCTCAGCAGGATCCAGGGGTACCCTCAGGATGAACGGCGTCGGCGAGAGAGAGACAGAGACAGAGAAACCAGACTAGGGGTATGCAGCAGGGTCTGGCGGTGCTTTATTTTTCACCATAGCTTTTATACCCTAAGTTAGTACATTTCTAAGGGGAAGATAGTTTAACATTACATCAGCTTGTCCTTCACGAAACCAGGGTGTTTTCTGCATACTTACTTGTTTATGAGAGTCTTGTACATTATTTTCTGGCCTGGAGGCCTAATGACATTTTATGACCTAGGTGAATGCAAAGCTGTTTTCCGTAATCTATTCTTTATTGAACACAAAGGTCGGTCCTTTTGCAGAAGTTCTCAGCTAAATTTATCTAAAAAGTTTACCACACACAGACTGCGGCTCCAGTGAGGCAGCCTCTGCTTAGCACTCTTGGTTAAAATTAACAATTCTAAACTCTTATTTTTCTAAATCTTTAACTATAACCACTATTAGAATAATATTTTTGTGTTCTCTAATAGGGCTTCCTCACCCCCGAAGGGCTCTGTGCCTATTAGGGCCTTTTGTGTGATCAGGTTCTTTATGCTGTTTATGATTAAGGTGTTGTGAGCAGTCATGTGCATTAGTACGCATTTGCCAAGCAGGCTAGAATGCCAGCAAAGGGGTCTAAATTCAAACACTCCTTTCATCCTGGATAATCTTATAGGATACCACCATTTGGGGGACATATTAATTAAAGTTCTAAGTTGATTCTGTTTGGAGAGAGATCGGGGAAAGCCTTCTACCCATGTCACAGAAATTAGGGAGTAGTCTAATATAGCAAGCATCAGAAAGACAGAGATCATCTTTAAGGTGAGCGCCGGGGCAGCTTTTCTGGGCAGCTTTTCAAAATCCCTGAAGTCCTGATCTGCCTTGCTTGTCAGGTCTTCTCCTCATGACCTTGTCATGGGTGGGATCTTGTGTGCTGGCTCCCGGCAGATAGAGGCATGGATGGGTGGAGTGATTGGTTCTATATACACTTCTAAGTTCCAGAAATACAAAGTCAATAAGACATGCCCCTTCCTTCAAGCAGTGTACAGGCTGGCATCTAGTGGATGAGAGAAATAAATGAACAACTACATACGGAGGCATCTGTGGGACACTTATGAGGTCCAGTTCATCCAGGGGATTCAGATCTTCCTGAAAAAGTGATGCTAAAAATAAGACTTTTAAGGAAAGGGAGATTGTACCTCTCTCTCCCTAGACAGAAAATGGAACAGCTAAAGTAACAACTTGCATAAGTGTGGAGACGTAAGACAACAAGAATTTGAGAACTTCACATGGTTTAATGAGCATGACCACAGAGTGACTGATGAATGCACAGGCATGCAATAGCCACATTTTGAGGGATTTTACATATCAATAAAGGCCATCAGCTTTATTGTGAAACCTACTTAGAATTCAGAATTTCAGACAAAGTGATAGCGTCATCAGCCTGACATTTTAAATCCAAAGGGAGAAAGAGAGGAGAATGGATTAGAGCAAGGCCAGGCTACATTTAGGGAAGCTGGGAATTTGGGCGAGAATTCAAGAAGGACCTGAAGGTAGGTGATGGCCTTGGGAGTGGCAGAGAGATGAATAGAGAAAGGAAATAGAATCTGTAGGACTTGTGGCTGAATGGCTTTGCAAGATGATCTAGAGGGAGGAGTCTAGGATGGTTCTTAGGTTTCCAACCTGGGTTTCAAGGGAAGTCAGGGTGGTACCATTCCTTATGAAAAGAATAGGACTGAGCGTGACTGGTGGTAAATATAACTATCTCTGGTAATCAGTTTTTATGAAATACCCAATTGTTTACTCACTGAGTTGGTCCCGATTCTTTGCAACCCCATAGACTGCAGCTCACCAGGGATCCCCCCTCCATGGGATTTTCCAGGCAAGAATACTGGATTGCCATTTCCTTCTCCAGAAATACCCAATATGCATCTTAATAGATGAATCTGCTGGCGAGTTAACTGTTTTGGACCAGAATCGTATATTTAGGATCATTTACTGGAAGTGGTGTGTGAATCTATGAGGCTGGCACTCAGGAATAGCAGATGAAGTTAAAAAAAAAAAGGTTCGGGGGGGCCTTTGTTCCTTGGGGCTTTAGGGGGCCATAGAAAGGGAGTCTTCAATGGTTACTGAGAAGAAACCAGAGAGGAGACAGGAAAACCATGGTAACTGGGTGTTACAGAAGTTAATGGAAACGCTTCAAAGAACACAGTATTAATTCAAATAAGATAAGAACATTATAAAGTCAACTGGATTGAACACACAGGTCTTGGGAACTCCATGCAGCAATGGAAGTAAAAGTTAGATGGGAAAGGAATAAGAGCTATGGAGGGTGAAGAAATTGAGACTCTCCCTTTTTGCAGGTAGGAAAATTATTATTATCTTCCCTAGTAACCAATTCGTTTTTCCGCAGTCTTTCCTATTAGGAAATCTTTTATGTCCGTCTTATCAAATTTTTAATTTTTTAAAAGATGAAAAGGTAATGTTAATTTTTTCATCTTGAACAAAATTAAGTTACTAAGTTTCATGCTTATTACACAGATTTGGTTTGTTTATTTTTAAATTATAGTAGTCATGGCAAAAAATGGGAAAATGACTTCAATTCATTAGTGTTTGGATTATTTACAAGTACCTGTAAGCAGTTTAACCAAAAGAGCTTTCTGTTGCCATATGTTTGGAAATCCCCAAGGAAATATTCAATCCCAAGTGTCAAAAACATAGAAAGGTAGTTGGGCTGCTCTGAATTGGGATCTTTGAATGCTTAGCTCTAAAGCTGTTCCAAGAAAGCATGCTTTTCTCCACACCCTCTCCAGCCTTTATTGTTTGTAGACTTTTTGATGGCAGTCATTCTGACCGGCTTGAGATGATACCTCATTATGGTTTTGATTTGCATTTCTTTAACAGTAAGTGATGTTAAATATCTTTTCATGTGTTTGTTAGCCATCTGTATGTCTTCTTTGAAGAATTTCTGTTCAGTTCTTTGGCCCACTTTTTGATTGGGTTGTTCGTTTTTCTGGTATTGAGCTGCGTGAGCTGCTTGTATGTTTTGGAGATTAGTTCTTTATCAGTTGCTTCATTTGCTGTTATTTTGTCTCATTCTGAAGGCTCGCTTTATGCCTTGTTGTGAACAACTAGGTGTTGTTTCACCTAGTTTCCTTCATTGTGCAAAAGTTTTTAAGTTTAATTAGGTCCCACTTGTTTATTTTTGTTTTTGTTTCCATTACTCTGGGAGGTGGATCATAGAGGATTTTTCTGTGATTTATGTCAGAGTGTTCTGCCTATGTTTTCCTCTAAGAGTTTTATAGTTTCTGGTCTTACATTTAAATGTTTAATCCATTTTGAGTTCATTTTTGTGTATGGTGTTAGAAAGTGTTCTAGTTTCATCCTTTTACACATGGTTGACCAGTTTTCCCAGCACCATTTGTTAAAGAGATTTTTTATTCTCCATTATGTATCTCTCTTACACTGTTGGTGGGAATGCAAACTGGTACAGCCATTATGGAGAAGTGTGGAGATTCCTTGAAAAACTGACACATATGGCCCAGCAATNCTTATTTGTTTGTTTTGTGATTATGTTTGTCAATAAAATCTTAATACTTTATTTATGTAGATCTTTTATCTTTCTTGTTAAATTTATCCTGAGTACTTTGCAGGGTTTTTTCCTCTTATTGGTAACTGGAAATATATTTAGGTTTACTCTCCTGATTTATCTAAGAGAAAAAAATGTCAGAATGTTTATCTTGTACCACCTGAACATGTCTTATGAGTGTTGATTATTTTTAGTAAAGTTTCTTGAGTTTTCTATCATACTAATCATATTATTTCCAAACAAAGATAAGTTTACCTTAACAACAACACCACACTTTTTCAGAATGAGGAAGAATGCAGTTCTAGGCGAATGTCATCTGGGATGATGCCTTCTTCAAAATGTTAGACATTTTGACAACATCTGCTCTAACAGCAAAACATTGAGAACCCAAAATCTCTTTGGAAGAGAAGACTCCCCGGGAAACACAGTCATTTAGGCAGCATCTGGTCTGAATTACTTTATTAATTTTCTTTTATTTACTAGCCTTCATTTGACAGTTGTGGTACTTTTTTCCAGAGCGGGAGTCAATAAAACTGTAACTCTTTCCCCATCTGTGGTTCATTTTCCTCTTAGAAGAGATACAGAGGGTTTCAAGGAAAGTTGCTTTATGTTCTGCTATATTTGCAATCCTTCTTTTATTTCAGGGGCTTCCAGGACCAGCAGGAGAGGCAGGGAGTCAAGGCCGTTTAGGAAGCCAAGGAAATAAAGTAAGTCACATTCTTTTTACCCATGAAAGCTGAGGTTTTCTTCCCAAGGGAAATGTGTCTGGTTATATTAGCCAAAGCCCTTTCAACACAGAAGAGAACACATCTCATTGCCCTCTACCCTGGCTTCATTCTTAGAGAGCCAGCAACAGCTAAGGACGTGGGTGTGGACCCAGATGAGGTCAGGGAATCCAGCTCAGCTTCAGCTCATGAGGGACCACACCCAATCTGAGAATCTCGGGGAAGGGGGACTCGTCTAAGCCAACCGTTCCTTCTTTCTCAACCCCTACCCCTTCCTTCTCTTCTTTTATTTCTATCCTCCATTTATACGAGCATATGCTGAATACCTTTAAAGTCAAAGTCACTATGCTGGCCTTCAGCTGGGTTAACGTCAGCTCCGAAAGGGCAGAGGTCTTTGTTTTGCTCACTGATGCATCCCTAGAGCTTTGACTAGTACCTGGCATGTCATCAGCACTTAGAAAATATCTGTTTAATGAAAGAATTTCTGGGTCGTGAGGTGATACCTATGACATAGAATCAACCCCACAAAATTGAGAGAATGTTCAAGACAAGAATCTACAATGGGGCTTCTCTGGTGGTTCAGAGGTGAAGAATCCACCTGCCGATGCAGGAGACACGGGTTCCAGTGTTAATAGAAGTATTTCCAGAGTGGAAAAAGAGGCATCATAAGGATATAGATTTTGAGTAGACTTTGGAAGGTAAGAAGTGTTTGGCAAGGAGTGAGAAGGGGCAGGGGAAATTTATTGAAGAAATAAATACTGGAGAAATAAATATTGGAGAAACAATATTTCTCCAACAAATACTGAAGAAATAAATAAAGGAAAACACAAGACTGGAAAAAGCCCACGAGCCGGTGTTTGGGGGTGAAAATTATCCTCCTGGGGGACCGTGAAGAACAGGGAGGTCCGTGGTGACTGACTTGACTAGGCAGCCAGTACAGTGTTGTTTGCAGTTTGTGATCTGCATATGTGAACACAGTCAGGTTTGGAGGCTTCTAAACAGGCAACTCAGTGTGGGAATATTTTGAAGACAGAGAGATTGTAAGCCAGGAGGACTGTTGGCCCCTCACAGACTCGAAGACAAGCCATGACTGGGTGACTCAGCAGGGGAGGCCAGGAGGGACTCAGGAGGCTCCTATGGAGTGTTCCCAGGAGGGAACTGAGACTCAGAAGAGGGCTGGATGGCTCTGGGCCCCCAACTTGAGTGGGAACCCCATCACAGAAGTGGGAAAGGCAGAGTGGGCAAAAGAGTGAGGGAAACCCCTGGGTCTGTGGGTGGAGCAGAGAGTCTAAGACTGATTGAAGATGCAGCTTTCAGAATCATTGGAATTTTTAAAAAGGCTCTTGGTGATGACTCTTTGTAAGGGTAAGAGGAGGCAGAAAAGGAACCATTGGAAAGGAGGGGGGAGAAACACAAAAGCACACTGGATGCGGAGAAGGAGTGTCTTGGAGAAGCTGGGAGCCTCAGCTGGCACCAAGTAGGCAAGGGGGAAGGACTAGAGCAGCCATCACTTCTGGTGACCGAGATGCACCAACGGACAGATTCCAAAATGTAGCAGTTGGCCAGCTGCAAAGGACTAAACAATGTGTTTGGGATGGAGACCTCAGAAAGGCAGACATGGTGGAGCCTGCAGTTGAGGGTCACAAGGACAGCTGATCGCAGGATGCAATGAGATCCATTGGTGACAAAGATAATCAGCTCCGAAAGGGATTACTAGGGATGCGGCATAGCAATAACAGTCAGGAAAGGAAAGTTTGGAACAGACACAATGGTGCCTTCTCGCCCTGGAGAGGGCTTCAGGGGAAGTGGTGTCTCTGGAAAAACTGTTTGTCCTACAGTGAGGATGCATCTGTGCAGACATCATGGGCATATAGAGAAGGTTTGCATGTGAAATGAGAGCACTTCATAGCGTGTGGTGGAAGAGACCAAGACAGAGGTAGACAGAGATGGAGGGACCCTAGAGCTGGACGTAGATGAGAGTGTAGAAGTGTGCAAAGAGATAGATAGCAGCAGGGTAGTTGTGCCAAAGAATATCATTGCTAATAAGAGAGATTTTTGAACGGGACGGGCAAGAATTTGGGAGACAAGTGCCCTCAATGCCAACCCAAACCCTTTGGGAACCTCAAGATGGACCAAGTTCTCCAAGTCTACGATGAGCCGCAGACACTTACTCCTACCTTATTCCATTAAGCTCAAGTTCCCAGGGAAGCAACCAACCCAGCAGTTCATCCCAGGCTCAGTGTCTGGCTGTAACCAGTAACAAAGTGTTTGACCTTGAACAAGCCTTATGGCTTCCTTTGTCTCCCTATCTTCAAGCAGATGTTCTCAAACTTCAATGTACATAAGAATCAGCAGAGAAGCTTATTCACAAAGGCATATCCTTGGGCTCCACCACCAGAGCCTGACACCAGTGGGATCCAGGAATTTCCTTTGGCATGTGGACCCTAGGTACATGGGAGGCAGGTGGCTTCCAGAGTGCAGTTTGGGGGCCACTGCCCTGGAAGAAAGTCTGCAAGGCGGGGGGTCTTCCGCCACCCTTCCATGGAGCCCTAGTCAATGTGCCCCTCCAGGGATCAGTGTTGATGAACATTTGTCCATTTGGACTCCTCACACGTACTGTGTGGTCTTTCTAATCTTAACAGTGAGTTGACCAGTCCTTCAGTGTGGGCTGTGCACACTTCCACTCTCTTGGAAAGGGAAAGGAGAATAACGAGACAGTGGAGAAACTTAGCCATGCCTTCCTCAGCCAGATGGCCAAGGTCAATAGTGTCAGCCACATTGATAGGATATACTCTTGATGTGAGAAGAAGGGCCCTTCACTTTCTCTCACTATGGATATTTTCTCCCCACTCATAAAACAAAACATAATCATGAGGAAAACATCAAACTCCAATTGAGGGACATTCTACAAAATACCTAATCAGTACTCTTCAAAACTGTCAAGATCATCAGAAACCAGAAAATCAGATAAACCATCCCCATCTAGAGGAACCTACAGAGACATGGGATCCTGGGACTGGAAAAGGAGATTTGGTGGTAAAAACTAAGGGAATATGAGTAAAGTATGGACTCGGGGCTTCCCTAGTAGCTCAGTTGGTAAAGAATCTGCCTGCAATGCAGGATACCCAGGTCCGATCCCTGGGTCAGGAAGATCCCCTGGAGAAGGAAATGGCAACCCATTCCAGACTTCTCACCTGGAGAATCCCATGGACAGAGGAGCCTGGCGGGCTACAGTCCATGGAATCGCAGAGTCAGACATGACTGTGCAACTAACTTTCCTTTCCTTTTAATTAATAAGAATGATTTACTATCCATGGGTTTGTTGTGACGAATATTCCCTACAAATGTAACTAATGTGAAGTTAACAATAGGGGAGGCTAGATGTGGCGTGTATAGGAACTCTTTACTGCCTTCAAAACATTTCTGTAAATTTAAAATTGAGATTTTAAAAGCTTTTTTTCTTTTTTTTTTTTTTTTACAAAAAGGAGTTAACCTTCTTTTGTAAACCTGTGTTAACTTTTCCAAGTAGCTGTGTGTCCTCAATGTGAGACTGAGGTTGATTTATAACCCACAGTAGACGTGCTACTAGTCGGAAGTCAGAAACTGTTGCCAGGGATGTCATGCTATCTTGGTTATCTTGACTAAAACTCGATTAATAAGTCAGTTGATTCTGCAACATCCTGATGATTTGTATGGCTCATCACAGGGAACAGCTTTGTTAATCTTTAAAGCCGTCCAGAGCCTCTCTTTGACTCATGGTAAGACATTTCCAAGGGCTTCATTTATCAATGGAGGAGACTTCACTCACCAACAGCAGTGCCTCTTGAATTGCTTACAGACTCAGTCCTAGCCACAAACCCATATTCATGGATGCAGCTGAAAATTCTTGTCTTAGTTCCATCATTTCTAACGTCCTTTACAAAAGCAACCTAATAAAGACATGTGTCATTTTTCTGTTTGACAGGGAGAACCTGGCGATCTGGGAACAAAGGGAGCCATTGGCCTTCGGGGTCCTCGAGGCTTGCCGGTTTGCATTTTATTCCTATTTTTGATCTGGCTCTTGGACTCTTTTTAGTTCAATAGGTATCTCTTGATGTGAGAAGAAGGGCCCTTCATTTTTTCTCACTGTAAGTCTTGAAAGTCTTTAGAGTGGTTCTCTAAAGAGTGTGATGAAGATAATAGCCCAATCAAGCTGTAGAATTTGCTAGAAATTGAAATTTCATCTTCATCTTGGCCAGCTTTTCCAAAGTGACAACTTCCCAGGTACCAAGCATTCTGGGTTGGATGCTCTTAAAGCCAAATGACAAAAGGGACAAAGCCTGTGGTTGACATCCCCCAACCTTGCTTCCGCGCTTTCGTCTCATCCAAACCCCTTCATGTGAAACCCAGCCCACCCTTCCACCAGTGCTAGGGGCTTCTCACTAAGCCTGTACAAGGATCCAGCAGCAGCCAGTACCCAGACACTTGGGAGATCTTTCTTTTATCCAGCAAACTGAAATGCTTTAGAGATAAGGTATATCTCTCTATAAATCCAAATGTTATTTAAGAGGGATAACACTTCTACCTTCTTTTATTAAGATTATTATACATCTGAAATTTTCTCATTTCATTCTCAGAACACGAGGAGCAGTTATAATTATTATTTTTCTTTTATGATGAGACAAGTGAGATTAAGTGACAATGCCTTGTCTGCATTTGCTATTGAGAGTTCCCTTTAGTGCCACTATGTCAGTGGGCTGCCCCCGAGGGAGAATCCTGCTGCTTAATTTTTCCTAAGCAAAACAGAAAACTGACTGTCTAGTTCTCTTGTGAATAAGCCTATCTCCACCCACCATTGGGGATGTTTGTTAATAATTGCTGCTTCTCACAGGGTGGTGACGGCAACCCAGGCTATGGTAGTGTTGGAAGTAAAGGAGCAAAGGTAAGACCCATTGGCTGAAAGCTGGTCATTTTCAGGTTTGTTGTTGTTTTTTGGGGCCGCATTTAAGAGAAAAAAAGGAGTGAATAAGGTAGTCTTAGATCTTTGGAGATAGATTTTGATCATTTATTTGATGATATCTTATGGAGAATATGGTAGGAAAAAAAACTTGATAGTTTAAGGGGCAGGCAACAATTAAAATTCAAAATTAATTTTCAGTTCTTTGCAGAGATGGGCAGTCAGGGGCTGACTGGTTCCAGTCTGGACAGTACATCTAATCTAGAGCCCAGGGAGGCATTCCAAAATATGTCCTCTGAATATGTTTACTCTAACCATTTGTGAGAAGTTCTGCAGGGCCTGTCCAAATGCAATGGGCCAAGCAGTAATTCTAAGATTAAACCTCGTAACTTTATATCAGGATTATAACTTAGCATTGTCACTGAATACTTAAGTGCTGGAAGTAAGACAGATAACTTTACCAAAAGCAGTGATTGCTGTATACCAACAATAACCACTTAGAAATCATAGCAGCATCCATAAAAACATAAGATAGTTAAGAATATCCTTTCTACAAAAATATTCAGGGCCTATAACAAAAATTACTAGGATATAAAATTCCAATAATTGGAAACATACAAAATACTTGTTGGGAAGTCTAAAACATTATAAGGGTCAATGTAATCTCAAGTGAAATCCCAACGAGAATGATGTAAGAGGCTGTCTAGAAGGATAAACAAACCCCCCAAAGCCAAAATTTCTTTTTAAAAAACCCTAATGAATGAAGGGTTTCCAGTGAAATCTTCATTGAAAGTAACCTTAGTATTTGATAAAGTGGAACTATTAAGTAGCTAATAGAGCTGAGCTGAAGTCGCTCAGTCGTGTCTGACTCTTTGCAACCCCGTGAACTGTGACCCTCCAGGCTCCTCTGTCCATGGGATTCTCCAGGCAAGAATACTGGGGTGAGCAGCCATTCCCTTCTCTAGGGGATCTTCCTGACCCAGGAATCAAACCCGCATCTCCTGCATTGCAGGCAGATTCTTTACCATCTGAGCCACCAGGGAAGCCACTGAAATATTAGCCACTCCTTAAAATGAATGCAGATGTTTTTATACATAATATATAGAACTTATGTGACAATGTCAAGTAAATATCAAAATGTAATAAGAAAAAAAAACCCTGTATTCTAACTGTGCTAAAATGCGTTTTTAAAAGATTAAATAAAATATGGTAAAATATTTATAGTAATGGTTCTGGGAAGTGAAATTTGGGTGAATTTTCTTCTTTCTGCCTTTTTATTATTTTAAATATATTTGAGGAGAGATGACTTATAATGATCAGAAAACAAACATTATCTTAAATAAAATATTTTTTTCATCAAGTTAGGATTATCATACGTTTACAACTATAGCCTGTGGCCAAAGTAAGGTAAACAGAATACCAGAAAACAAATGATCAGATTTAGTCTGCAGGCTTCCCCAATTTTTCCTTCAAAGTTGAAATCCAGTTTAAGAAGACTATTTCAGAAGCACATGGTCAGATCACCAGCTCTCCTGCTGAATGTTTATATTTGAAGGAGAGCTGAGGTGTACACTTTACCCATTGATCTTAGGTTGTCATGATGTTTTGTGAGACCAGTCAATAGTTTAATTTGGAGACTGGAGTTAGTTTCTTAGACCATGCAATACAGGGTTTTTTTTGGCCCTTCCTTGGTTCAGAGGCTTTTTTTTTTTTTTTTTGGTTCAGAGGCATTTAAAATAAATAAGGCAGCAGGCAAAATTAAAGTCAATATAAATCTATGCCAGTGATATGTACATATATTAATTTTCTCAATTATAGGGGCAAGAAGGATTCCCTGGAGAAATTGGACCTAAGGTACTGTGTACTTCATGCTAACTAGAGATCAGAGATACTCCTGGGTTTATGAAATGTGTTGTAGGACTATAGAAGAAAAATTAATTATAAATGGATAAAAAGAAACCTTTATGGAGCAAGGGGAGAAGAAAGAAGCAGGCTTTTAAAAATAGTCTTTTATTTCTAGCTTTTTAATTCACAAGGAAGAAATCATCCATGTTTTTCTCCTCACATGTCCTCCTCCCCCTCTACCATATGTATTTTCTTCTTTGCTCAAAGGGAAGTAAAATGTGAGAAAAACCAAAATTACCTGATCTCACTTGCCTCAGTTCTCCTGATGTGTTTGTAAGTCACCTTCAGGTGGTAAGTTTAGCCATGCTGTTCTCTACCTTAAGGCGTCCGCTCCTACTGGAAGCACTGACTGAGCCCAGGAAATGCCGGCTCCTGTGATAGCATCAGGGCACAAAATAAAAAGCACAGTCTGTATCTCCAAGGAGGCTGTGTTCCATCTGGAGAGACAGAGAAATAAAACAGTGAGACTCCAGTGGGGTGTGCTGAGAATCAGAAAATGGGGTTATCAGGGCAAGACACTTCAAAGAAGGCTATTAAAGATAAAAATATGCGTGAAAAATGTCTTCATGTTGGAACCAGTATAAAAAGACACTGAGATATACCTCTGGTTTTACTAACCGTTTTGTTTTGTTTTTCTGAACTTATTTAGGGTGAGGTCGGGGACCCCGGTGGCCCAGGAGAAACTGGACCCAAGGGCGCTAGAGGCAAGACGGTAAGTTTCTTCGGTCGTAAAAGCCTTACAACCTCAACTACCGTGGGAAGTCCTACCTCAGGCTCTTACAGTCGTTTGAGTTGTCACTTTGTCCCCAATGCTTGTAAAACGTGTAGTTTTTGTTAAGGCAAACTTGGGGCAGGGAAATGGATATTTTGCTCCTTCTTTGCCAGCAATAAGGCAGTGAACTATTGGCTCTTAATGACCAGGTTCGCTTGATCTGACTGATAAGGTACCATTCTTAACACTGGAAATAAGTTGTGCATTTTTTTTTTCTTAAAGAACCATTGTGATCCAAAACAGTGTTTGCACCACCAAATATGACCCATTTAATCCTGTCCCCTCAGCAGACTTCATGTAACTTACTGCCCACTGGCGTCTTGTCTCCCTTTTTAAGCTCTTGTCTAACTACTTTAAGGAGGTGATCTTCTCCCAGTTTAGCTCAGGAAAGTACCTCTTGAGCTATCTGAGAAAGTTTTCATTTATTATGTAAGATGGTGCCTAAAGCTTTGGACCACCCGTCTCCCGTACCCTCAGAAGCATCTGCACCCTGAGCTTGCCTTGGGTTCTCGTGGGCTAACAATGGATTTTGCCTTTGCTGACTCTATTTACCATACATTGCAAAAGTGAGACGGTCACTTTATAAAAGACACAGTCTTATGACAGTCATCTCTTGAGACATTATCTCTTTTCATCAGAACAACTCCGATCAGGTAAATAGATCTTGATACCATGTCAATTTCTGGATAAGAAAAACACAAAGTCTGATTAAAAAAAAAAAAGCTGTTACTTGAGGTGGTTTTTCAGTTTTGTCACCATGGTTGGTTTGACCCTGATCTGTTTTTTCCTACAAAGTATAGCAAAAACTGTATGTGAAGAAACTATTCATGTGGGCTTTAGGGGTACAAAGTTTGAGAGAATAGCATTGAATCGTGTATATTACCAAATGTGAAACAGATCACCAGTCCAGGTTCAATGCATGAGACAGGGTGCTCAGAGCTGGTGCACTGGGAAGACCCAGAGGGATGGGATGGGGAGGGAGGTGGAAGGGGGGTTCAGGATGGGGGACACATGTACACCCGTGGCTGATTCATGTCAGTGTATGGCAAAACCACCACAATATTGTAAAGTAATTAGCCTCCAATTAAATAAATAAAAAATAAAATAAAAAACAAACAAAAAAAGAAATACACTATAATGATAAAAAAAAACAAAAGAAACTTCTTCCCCTCCACCTTACTTTTCCCAAGAGGACTGCTTCCTGGATGTAATTCTTTGCCTTATATATGTTTTTGGTTGACTGTCCTTCAACATTTTTGCTCTCAAAAGAAAAAAAAAAAAGACCGATAAAAGAAAGATAATTGGAAAAGACTTTCAGATTAATCTAGATGTCATCTGCATTGAATCCTTTCTCTGCACGTGTTAATGAGATATACCCGTGAACACTGGAGACACGCAAACACAGCCAGCAGTTTCTTGACTTCTGTTATTGCCCAGTGACATATTCATCATTAAAAAAAAAAAACTAATGGGGAATATATAATCTTTTTCTCTTGGCCTTTGGCTACTTCATCTTTTTCCCACATTGGACAATTTATCACTGTCTTCAACTTGTTTATTTCACCTGCCAAGCTGCCTGTTTATACAACTTGTATTTTTTAGTTTGAAGTTTAGATACTGAAAAACTTCCAAGTTTTCGTTGAAGGGTTTTGGTAATAAAGCTTTGAGTATCTCTTTAGTTTCTCTTGGAATGATTATATTCCTAGTTTAAGTTTTCTAAATCTTGACCTTTTTTCACCCCAACTGAAGCATTTGTTTTTTTGTTTTTTTAAATCTGCTATGATTTTTAACCTGCCTTGTTTGGGGTATAAAGGTATGTTTGTATTTACACTTTTTATCAACTTTACACGTGCACACCCTTTAAGGCAGGGTTCCTCAGCCACAGCACCACTGACATTCTGGGCTGGATCATTGTGGGGGCTGTTCTTTGCTTTGTAGGTCATTGAGCAGCGTCCCTGGTCTCTGCCCACTAGAGTCAGCATCACCCACATCCGCCCCCCCATCATCACTGCCAAAAATATCTCCAGACCTTGTCAAATGTCGCCACAGGAGTCAGGGTTGAGGGCCACAGAATTCCCCCCAGTTAAGGACCACTGGTTTAGAGAGTCAACTAATTTCACAAGGTTTGTTATGAAAAGCTGGCAACCCGTCTGCCACGTAGCTCCTATTTCTCTAAAAGCTGTCTTGTTCTACTTTCTGGGAGATTTCTTTGACTTTATCTTACAACACTTCTCTCACAGTTAAATTTTCAAGCTTTTTTTTTTTTTGCTGCCTGAATATTCTTTTTTAAACGATCTTATTTTTGTTTCATGGTTGAAGCAGCTCATCTCTCTAAGGATATACATTAGTACTTTCAGAGTCTCCTTTGTCCAACATAGCCTGTTCCCGGCAGGGTTTCTTTCTGCCGTGCCTTCTGGCTCACGTGTCTCTCTGTTGAAGAGCTGAGGACACAAAATCTGACTGGAAGCCCCAAGGAAATGAATAGGGCTTGTCAACTACAAGTTTCATTAAAGAGTGATCTGACTGAGTTGCTACTTGGCAAACATCTGAGAGCAGCATCTTGGGGTCTTCTCTGTCTAGTCAGATTCCCTGGAAAGATTCTTTCAATCTTCCACCTAAGGGTGAAGTTCTGGCTGACAGCTTTCTGGGAGCCCCAGCTTTCTAGGGGTCTCGCATCTATTCCACAGCTTCATTTGATTGCCTCGTTCTCTGGACAGTACCACCAACCTTCAGCTCTGCCTGGGGTTTCCTAGCAGGTGGCCATCTCAGTTTTACCTTGGTCATCGAGGAGAAAGAAGGGACATTCGACTCAACTGTTGAGAACGGGGAGGAAGGTTGGGATTCCCCAACCAAGCTGCCTTCCTTGCCCTCTCTCCTTCATGCCCACTTCTAGAGGTACTTTCTGAGGATGCATTATAAAGCACTCAGCCTCTTAGCTTTCCCTGTTGCTGGCCTAGGATTCAGCTTTTTCAGCTCTAAGTCACTTAATGCTTTCCAGTTTGAAAGCCATTGTCTCATTTCTCATTCTCCCCATGTTTGTTATTTTTTGTCTACTCACTGTAATTTTAGTAAAACACTGGAGGAAACAAAAGTAAACACTTATGTCCAATAAACCTTTTATTCCCCTGGAGGTTAATCTATATTTTCTAAGTAAAACAGTAAGGTTGCATTTTGTTTTGCTTTTTCACTCAACCCAGCAGGCTGTGCATATCATCGGAAGACACAAAGACCATCAGTAATTATTTGCTATTTCATAGGCAATGCTTTTACAGATTAAGTTGATTTTAAACAGCCTTACTTTTCACTCTCTTAAAGCTTATACATCTCATGACATTATGAATGAACAAAGAAATATTGTCCTAATTTTTAAACTAAATTCTAGCTTTCTTTATGATAAATTATATTGTTGAATGCACACACATAAAGTAAGTAGTCAACAACTGTTGTTTTTATTTGCTACTGCTATTCCCCATTTTACTACAAATATTTCCAGCCAACTGTTCTGTGCTTTCTTATGGTTCTTTCAAGGGTTTTTATATTTAAAATTTTGCTTTTCTGAGTCTTTTTGTTTGTTTGCTTTCATATGTTTTTTAGTTTAGTCACCTGCTAAATTTAGATAAACTGAGATAAAAATTCATTTAGATATAAGTTTCTCCCTTGACCCAGAAATTCTAGTTCTAGCGATCTTTGTTAAGGAAACACTCAGAATTGCACAGATGACTTTATAGTGGTATGCTTACTGCAACAACAGCAAATTAAATGCCAACAATAAGGGACTGATTAAATAAATCATAGTATCTTCATTTAATAGCATATTATGGCAGCCATGAAAGGTGATTTTTGTGAAAGAAAATTTAGTAACATGAAAACGTCCAGAAATATATGTTTAGTTTAAAAGGCAACAATAAAAAGTATAAAAATATATTAGATGGAATGTAAAATACCAGATATGAACTCTAATGTAAACTATGAACTTTGGGCGTTTATGATGTCAATGTAGGTTCATCAGTTGTAACAAATGTACCGCTTCAGTGGAGGATGCTAGTAATGGGGACATCTAGGACTATGAAGGATCAGGATATATATAGGAAATGTCTGTAACTTCTTGATTTGTTTTCTGAACCTAAAATTGCTTTTAAAAAATACTCTTTAGAATTAAAAATAAAGACCATGATTTTAATATATATGTATATATATAATATTAAGATATATATAGATTAACACCAAAAGGATAAATAAATAAAAGACTGGAAGAAAAAACACCAAAATATCAGCGAGTATTATTTGGGGGAGAAGAGGTTGTTGAGGATGTTTTTCCTTCTGTGTGCTTTTTGGGAATCTCTCAGTTTTCTAAAGTGAAAGTGTATTGCCTTCTGTGTGCTTTTTGGGAACCTCTCAGTTTTCTAAAGTGAAAGTGTATTGCTTTTGAAATGTAAAACACCCACATCCACAAACACATGTATAATTTTAAAGTAAATAAATTCTGCTTTAAGGTATCTGCTGGGCTTCCGGGAGAACCAGGATCCCCTGGGGAGCTGGGACCTCCTGGGCGCAAGGTAAATCAACCCATCAATCACATCAGCTCCTTTTCCAGATAAAAAGTCAGTGCCTGAAGTCTTCATTATCCAAATGTGTATGCTTTCTGTGTTTGCAGCTTGGCAATGATTTCCACCTTTAATGTGCTCAGGGAGAGGAGGGGGAAAAATTGCTAATTAAATATCAGTTGCCATTTCTCCGGTGGTGGGGGGAAGCGAGGAAGGAAGCGAAAAGAGATTTCTTATTTCATCTAGAATGAGGTTTCTCAATGATCAGTGAATTTTATTTATCTGACCAATCCTTGCCTTTTTTCTCACAGTGAGTGATCAGTGAATGAAAGAAAGGGAGAGGAAATTAACAAATAGTGAATAAATTACCAACACTGCATTCATATGGAACTTATTTTCTTGAGGAGTTTGGGTGGAGTGCCATCACATTTTTCCTGTCCCTTTGAGCTCAGCCAGACTCTTCCTGTTCCAACTTGAAACTGAACAGATGAAATACAAAACAATTCCACTTTGTTCTTCCTATACTCTACCCATATAGATACATATGTATATATATGTGTGTGTGTATATATATATATGGTCATATACACATATATATACATATATATATATGATCATATACACATATATATACATATATATATATTCATTTTTGGAAGACAGTAGGAATTACCTTTCCAGATATTTGGCTTGTCTAGTCCCTTTGTCATCCAGCCGATGATGGGCACAGATTCAGAAGCGTTGGGGAACTCGGGACCTCTGTGTTAAGGAGGGGCTGGCCCAGGGGATGGCTCAGCCTTGGCTAGTTCTAGCCCCAGGATCTGCTCCAAAGCTCTCCTGGCCAGCGTCTCATCGCCAGCTCTGTCTTTATCTTCTGGACAACCCTTATTGTCCAGAGATACAGCCGGAGGACAGCGGCCACTGGAGGCTCACTACTTACAGTTTCCTCCCCTTAGAATGTTATTGTTAATCTGGTGATGAGTATCCTGCATGGATTTTTTTCCTCCCTCTTACTGAGAATAAAAAGGTTAAGAAGCTATCTTTTTCTTAGAGTAATGTTGATGTGTATTCTGGCTCCTGCGATGTGCTTCCAAAACCCTGAAACCACGTTCTTTTTGTTTCCCCAGGGTGTGAAAGGGGCCAAAGGATTGGCTTCATTCTCTGTACGTATCTGCTGACTCCAACAGAGCCAGAGCGTCCCGTGACATTTATTTATTCCTCAACTTGCAGGACCTGGAGCTGTTGGTTAATTCATTCTGTTCTGTTTTTTGAACTGCAGACATGTGAGCTCATCCAGTATGTGCGGGACCATAGTCGTAAGTACCACACTTAGGATGATCACCCGGGGTGTCAGCATTCATAAAAGAAAAGCAGCAAATTCTGCACTCAAAATTGAGACTAGTTGCCAGACAGTTTCTTAAAATTAGAGATGTCACTGTGTATTTGGAGGCGGCATAGACTGATGTCTATTAACACTCTCTCTAGCTGCCAGCATGTCTACTGAAACATGTCCCAACACTAAGGAAGGATATATTTAGTGCTTTTAATCAGGGGAAAATGAAGATATGAGGTCAGAACTCTCCTGATGGTGAAATCAACCAGCGAGGAGTCACATTAAACTTTATAAAATTATTAACCCCTGACAACAGCTAAGGATTGAATTCAGCTGCTGTGAAAGAGCCAGCCACAGCAAGGAGGTATCCTGGCTGGTGGGAACTCTGACGTTTGTTTATCATTCCCTGAGAAGGTGTGTTTGACTACCTTGAATTAGACTCATTTGCTTCTAAAATTACCCAGCCTGCCTGTATTTTCTTTACTTTCAAAGATTTAAGAGCCATAAAGGGGGTTTTGATTTGGCAAAGGCTCTTTTGAATTTGCTTTAAGACCCTTAGAGCAAGCTCTTCTATTAAAACATGAGTTACCAGCGTCAAAGGAATTCCATGGACAAGATGAGGAGACTTGGTTGTTTAATGTTCATCTACAAACGACTTCCAAGATAAACGTTAGGACTGAAAAAAATGCCACAGTTCCCTCAAGGCCTTTGAGGGGAGAAAGCAGACAAATTAAGAACCCATTTCTGGAGAGGGGATGGGTCTCAAAGACACAGACTTTCCAAAGCTTTGAATGCAGTGCTGATCTTAACTGTGCCTTGTAGCAGAACGGAACCATCGATTCTGGGAATCAGATCTATGCATGGGATGATGAAGGTTGCTTGCTTTGAGGCTGGGATAGCAGAGTGGGCTCTCTGACATTAGAGCCATGTGACCTATATTGACTCAAGGGTAGATCCAAGTGTGATGAGATCTAAGCTTTCAAAATGTGACGGATTTAATACAAAATTATAATTCCAAAACGAGGCACAAAACTACTTCAGAAGTGTCGTTTAGAACAAGAAAGGAAATCACAGCCAATGACTTCTGCCTGTTATAAAAGTATGTGATCATGTCAACGCATGGCTGGGCGCTTCGCAAGGCCTTGCCAGGGCCCCCTTGGGTGAGAGGCTGACAACAGTGCTGCCCAGAATTTTCTGCAATGACGCAAGTGTCTACTGCACTGTCCAACATGTAGCCACTAGCCACAGGGGAATTTGAGCCTTGATGGATGGTTAGTGCAAGTGAAAAGCTGTATTTATCTCATTTAGTTTAAATTAACTCAAATGTAAAGAGTCACAGGAGACTAGTGGCTTTCCTATGGACAGTGTGGTCCTAAAGCTTAAGCTTCATTTGTGTGTGTTAGTCGCTCAGTCGCATCCGACTCTTTTTTGAGCCCCCTCGACTGTAGCCCACCTGGCTCCTCTGTCCATGGGATTCTCCAGGCAAGAATACTGGAGGGGGTCACCATTCCCTTCTCAAGGGAGCTTCCCGACCCAGGGATCAAACCTGGGTCTCCTGCCTTGCAGGCAGATTCTTTACCGACTGACCGACTACTAGGGAAACCCACATCAGAGAGTAATTTGGCAATACCTATCGAAGTTGAAGATGTATGATCCTCTGTGTCCCAGAAATCCTGTTCCTACACAAATCCCTAGAGAAAGCTTCATTTACTTAAGAGTAAATCTATCAAGGATGTTTACATATACACACACATATATAAATATGTATATATGTGTACCTATATGTAATCGGTAGCTATAGATACCTACATGGGGGAATTTAGAGTGAAAAGGGATTAAGACCTTTTAACTTTCCAAACTCGGTGCATCTCTCTGCAACGTGCTGTTCCCTCCCAGGCAGAGAGCCTTTCCCTCTGACAGCTGGCTGCCTGCTACTGATTTATGGTCCTCCTGTGTCTCCAGCCCTATTTCTCTGTGGAAGGACCTGTTCTTTTGCCAAGATGCTTGATCTGTCTGCTTATCTTCAAACGCTCTCTGTGACCTTGATTTGTTGAGTTGTCTACAAAAAGCTCACAAAGTCGAGTCTCGGTTGCCATGATTTCTTACACAATACAGAATGCTATTCTCCTACTAAATAATAACCCACTTCTTTTGTTCTTCTTCCCCAGCTGGCAGACAGGGTGAGTAATTTTATTTACAGCATCTTATAATCAAGCTCCAAAGTGTCACACATCTGGAAAGATGATTTAGAACATTGTGTTGCCTGTGAAATTATATAAATTTTATCTAAGCCCTCTTGGTAGCACAGCCCTCCAATAAATCACTTGAGTTTAAGCTGAGTCTCGCAGTTCTTTGTTAACCAAGTGTTTGATTTTTTTAATTATTAACATTTTAATGACTACCAGTACCGTTTACCTTACCAATAGACTTTTTGTAATGATATTTTCCCCTCCCTCCCTTTTCTCTATTTATGTCTGTAGTCTAGTTTTTAAGGATTAAGATGCAAAGGGCAAAAGTGCATGGAATAAATCTAGGGATGATAAGGTAGCAAGTAAGCTACATGTGTAGCTCAGATAGTGCTAAAATTTATGGCGATCATGGCTGATGTTAATTACCAAATTGGCTTAATATCTTCTGGGCCAGTTTTCAGGAATATTACACAAACTGATTATATGATGTTTCTGTTTAACCCAGAGGTATGGCCCTCCATGCCTTTATACCCTTATCCTTTTTATATAAATGCATCAATCCATGCACTCTGGTTGCTTGTTTACTCATTCAACAAATATCTATTGGAAGCCCATTATGTTGCAGTCTCTGTCCCAGACAGTGCTGACTAAAATGGACATAATTCCTGTCTTTGGAAGCTTCCATTCTTGTGGAGGATCCAGATAAGTGAACAAGCAAAAGAATTACAGAATCCTTTAGTTACTATGAAAGAGATAAAGAATGCAATATTCTGCCACAGAATAACATTAGAGGAGGGGAGAAATGCCTTTGAAGGGTGGGTTCATCAATGAGACAATGACACTGAAGTTTGGATGAAGAATAAAGAAGCAGCCAGCTTTGCAAGATCCAGGCAGGGAATCCGGCAAGTGAAAAGGCCACAACACAAGAGAGACCCAGGCGTTTTCAGTTCCTGATGGAAACCCAAGGTCACTGAGCCACGATGATGAGGGGGACAAGGCATGTGAAGAAATGGAGAAGGAAGCAGGGACCAGATCCCACTGGGCTTTGTAGGTTACATTTAGGAGGCCAGATTGTATTCAAAATGGAATGGGAGGGCATTAAAAGTATTGAAGGTGTGAACTGATGAGCAAGTTTTTAAAGTTTATTTTGGTTGCTGTGGGAGACTGAATTGTAGGGAACGTGAAAGTCGCTCAGTCCTGTCCAACTCTCTGCCATCCCACGGTCTATACAGTTCATGGAATTCTCCAGGTCAGAATACTGGACTGGGTAACCTTTCCCTTCTCCAGGGGATCTTCCCAACCCAGGGATCGAACCCAGATCTCCCACATTGCAGGCAGATTCTTTGCCAGCTGAGCCACAAGGGGAGCCCAAGAATCCTGGAGTGGGTAGCCTATCCCTCCTCCAGGGCATCTTCCAGGCCCAGGAATCAAACCAGGGTCTCCTGCATTGCAGGCAGGCTCTTTAGCAGCTGAGCCGCCAGGAAAGCCTTGCAGGGAGGGTGTGTGTAAAAGCCAGAGGACTCGCGTTGCAGGGAGGGGCCGTGTGGGTCTCTTCTAGGCCGGCTTGGCAGTCGCCTGGACGGGCCTCCGTTGCGGGGTGGCGGTCCCTGGCGGGGCCTGGGTTCGCCTCCCTCCTTCCTCATCGTCACTTGCTCCATGCCGTGCAGTGACCATCAGCACACTGGTCCTCCACGTGGGGACTCACGTCTGGGTGGGTCCTCCCCAGGGCCTCCACAGTCCAGCCCAGCGTTCCTCAGAATCCTCGGGGTGCTGGCAGCATGCTGGTGAGCCTTGAGGGGTTTCCCCCTAAAACCTGAATTTTTTTTTGTTATCGTCAGCCAGGGTGCTTGTATCTTTTTTTCCCCTTTACAGAGCTGAGGCTACAATGTTGTTATTGCTGCTATTGCTGCCCTGTGAGATGGCAGCCCAAACAAAAAACGAGTGGAAGCTTTGTCGTGTTTGGTCACAACTTTACTCAGTTTTATTGTAAAATTGACGTGACCTTGGTTTTTTTAAATTTCTGAAATTTTTAAGTTTCTGCTCAGCCCCCTAAATTAGACTCAGAAAGCTAGTAAATTCCGCCCTTCTCCATTGAGATGTGCAGTTTGGGGGTTGAATATTTATTCTTACTTGTCCTTTTGTCCATGAAGGTCCTAGCATCTAGGACCAGAAGGAGATGATAACCCAGCACTAAGGTGATGGGGTTTCCCTTGTAGCTCAGCTGGTAAAGAATCTGCCTGCAATGCAGGAGACCCGGGTTCGATTCCTGGGTCGGGAATGGAGAAGGAAATGGGGTCCCTGGAGAAGGAAATGGCAACCCACTCTGGTATTCTTGCCTGGAAGATCCCATGGACAGTGGAGCTGGCAGGCTACAGCCCACAGGGTAACAGAGTCAGACAGGACTTAGCAACTAAACCACCACCAAGGTGATGAGGTCCAGGTGGACCAGCTGAGAAGGTGACCCCCTCCTGGGCCAGCTTGGCCAGCTTGGGTCAGAGTCCTGAGCTCGCCTGGGAAGAGCGGACTTGCTAGCCGCTGAGCGAGAGGAGGCCCCCCTCCAAGGGAATGACCTCCCCTGACTTTCCTCTTACCAACATGCATCTTAACACCAGGCATCTCATCCATCCTGAGAGTTCTGTTCTTCTTTCAGTCCCTGTTCTGAAGAACTGTCCTTTGTTTGCTTCCTTTTCGTTAAACATTTATGAGACCCCAGATACATGGCAGGGACTAATTATCAGCCATAATCATACTTGTATCAGTTCAGTTCAGTTCAGTCGCTCAGTCGTGTCCGACTCTTTGTGACCCCATGGACTGCAGCACGCCAGGCCTCCCTGTCCATCACCAACTCCCAGAGTTTACTCAACCTTATGACCATTGNTTTTTTTTTCATTTTAAGTGAGTGGTCTCATGGTAAGGCGCCTGTTCTGGCCTTTTAGGAACGCCTCCGTGCCCCGTGTACCCCACGGAGCTGGTGTTCGCGCTGGACCAGTCGCGGAGCGTCACAGAGCCCGAGTTTGCGCGGATGAAGGCGATGATGTCCTCCCTGCTGAGCGGCCTCCGGGTCCGCGAGGACCACTGCCCCGCAGGCGCGCGCGTGGCCGTGCTCGCCTATGATTCCCACGCCAGGCTCCTCATCCGCTTCTCCGACACCTACAGGAAGGACAGACTCCTCCGAGAGATCGAGGCCCTCCCTTACGAGCGCTCCGCGGCCAGCAGGGACATTGGCAAGGCCATGAGGTTTGTCTCCAGGCACGTCTTCAAGCGGATGCTCCCGGGGTCTCACGCCAGAAGAATCGCCACCTTCTTCAGTGGCGGCCCATCCGTGGACCCCCAGACCATCACCACCGCCGGCCTAGAGTTCAGCGCCCTGGACATCATCCCAGTGGTGATCGCCTTCAATCAGGTGCCCGCGGTGCGGCGATCGTTTGTGGTAAGAGGGTCCTCCTGCCTCATGAGTCTTCTCTGTCTTTCTGCCCGTGTTCGGGGACATTTACAAGAAAGCATGAAGCTGAGTGTTTGTTAGTATGTACCAGGAGCATGACAAGCCCTTGATACGCACCGTCCTGTTTAGTTCACACAAGCAGTGTGTGAGATGGGAATCGCTGTTATTCCCATTGTGTAGATGAGAACTCTGAGTCTGCAGAGTGAGTGAGTGAAAGTCACTCAGTTGAGTCTGACTCTTTGTGACCCCATGGACTATAGAGTCCATGGAATTTTCCAGGCCAGACACTGGAGTGGGTAACCTTTCCCTTCTCCAGGGGATCTTCCCAACCCAGGGATCGAACCCAGATCTCCCACATTGCAGGCAGATTCTTTGCCAGCTGAGCCACAAGGGCAGCCCAAGAATACTGGAGTGGGTAGCCTGTCCCTTCTCCAGCGGATCTTCCTGACCCAGGAATCGAACCGGGGTCTCCTACATTGCAGGTGGATTCTTTACCAGCTGAGCTACCAGGGACGCCCGAGTCTGCAGAAGTGGACCCATGTGCCCAGGTTCACACAGCTGACAAGTGGCAAAGTCAGGGCTTGGATCCAGGCCTCTTTTCTCCAAGACTCTCTGAGTTGGCTCTGGTGTATAGATACTAAGTTGGAGGGCCAATAGACATTCAAGGATGTCACTGAGGTGGCCAGCGTGTTGGTCACTGCTGTGTCATGGAAACCAACAGACAGATTTTGTAACTTTACCGATCATGTAAATATCCACCCTTTATGAAGGAAAAGTCATTCCAGTTACAGCCTCTGAGGTTGAAGATTAAAAGCTTACTGTGTAATATTTCTATTGACACTTTGATTTATTTATTTTTCATTCTTGAGTGCCCAGCAGCTTGTGAGATCTTAGTTCCCTGACCAGGCATTGAACCCTCACCCTCAGCAGTGAAAGTGAGAGTCCTGACCTCTGGACTGCCAGGAAATTTGCTGTGTAGCATTTCTAGATAAACCACCCAGTATCACAGCGGCGTTCAAAACTCCCTGTGAGTAGAGCCTCTGTGGCAGAGGTTCCTTACAAAAAAAGAACGCCCGCTGGACCCAGCACAATGACCTTCTGGTCATCGCTGTCCCCCCAGCCTGCTGTATTGTTCTCCATTCATGGGAGAGCCGTGAGGAGAGACCACAGTGCAACCACAAAGGGTGTTGGAAAATACAGCCTGAGCCAGGAGGACAAGTGTTTGCAAATTATTTCATGGAGAGGAAGGGAAGTGAGAAGCAGCTGAGCCCCTGCCTTCAGGTGTGTGGAGGGTTATTACTGGAGAGAGCTAGCCAGCCGGCTCCAGGAGAAGAAGCTCTCGAGAAACTGGGAGCCATAGCAGTGGCAAACCCTGGTTTAGACCTGAGTAGGGACTTTCTGAAGGCAAAACTGGTGGATGTTGTCACGGGCCAGATGGCTAAATGTAACTGGGCAAGATGCCTCCTTTCTCTGAGGCTTTTTCTAGGGACGATCACTCACCTGGCAAGGGCGACCTCCATCTGTCCTGGAGAACTAGGATTAAGAGGCCTTTGAGAAGATCCCCTGGAGAAGGAAATGGCAGCCCACTCCAGTACTCTTGCCTGGAAAATCTCATGGACAGAGGAGCCTGGAGGGCTGCAGTCCATGGGGTCGCAGAGTCGGGCACCACTGAGCGACGAACACTTACTTACTTACTTAGAGACCTTCTCCAGCTCCCTAATATTTTCTGTGAAAGTGCTAAGCTAAGCAGATCAGAACTTAAATACAGTACTCCTCCATAAAATGCAGAAAGCGGTGCTTGCTTCCTGAAGTTGGTGCAAAGAGGAAATGATGTCGCTCCATGCACCAGTGCCTGGGATACAGCAAACACTCAAGAAAGGTAGTTCTTGTTTTAATTAGGATTGTTACCAGTTTCTTTTTTTTAATTAATTAATTTATTTATTTTAATCGGAGGCTAATTACTTTACAATACTGTAGTGGTTTTTGCCATACATTGACATGAATCATCCATGGGTGTACATGTGTTCCCCATCCTGAACCCCCCTCCCACCTTGAGAGTGAACTAAAGTCTGTTTAACAATATTAAAGTCTGCATTGTTAAGAAGCTGAAACTGCTATTAGCATCATTGAACAAACTCAGAATGATGCAAAGGAACAGGTTAATGTATGAGGCTCAGAAAATAAAATGCTTGCACATTAGAAGCTGGATCCAGCCTACGCTAATGAAGTTGCTGTGAGAGGCAGTGGCTCAAAAGCTCTGTGAGTGGACCCACAGTCCTCCTAATTCCCTATCTTTATTGGGAGCCCCCACTGTCCTTTGACTTTATGTGGTCGCAGAAAAGACAACTCAATATCCTGATTCAAATAATTGATGGTACCTGTGATATAAATTTAAACAGACACAATTCCACCCACCCACTCAAAGGTATGTGCATCGCATACAACTTAAAAAAAATGTATTTTGTTGAGTTTTTCTTTTAAGCTTTGGAGGACTGACAATCCCACTTAGAGTTTTTACCCAAATCACCTAGAGACTCCTTGCTCCTTTATTGAAGAAGTTTATCTCCTTTTCCCCTCTGCTTCTTTTTGAATTTATTTTTAATTGGAGATTGCACTATTGTGATGCTTTCCACCGCATATCCACATGAATCGGCCATAAATATGTCATTTATTAGTATCTTAGGAACAGAGCTCAAAATTTTAATGACATGATACACTTTTATTTGGAGGCCATGTCACAAAGCTGTCATCTGTTTCGTAACCATTGTGACTTTTCTACATCTCCATTTGCCTGAGAGTTCAGCAGAATCCAGCTGAAATTCAAAACCGGTGTAGACACATGTGGCAGGTCTCAGACGAAGCTGCTCTGACACCACGGGCTCAGTTCCCTGTGTTCCTGAGTGAGCAGATCGTGTAACCCCCATCCGGACATTTTTCACGATGGTGTGAAGCTGAGTGATGAGCTATTCATTCTGCTGTAACACAAGGCTATTTTGATTGAAAAATCTTTAACCTCAGCCTTGTTTTGCCCCAAAGGTTTTTTCTTTAAATTTGTTGGGCAATTACCTCTTAATTCTGGAGAACTTTTATTTGCTGCATGTGAAGAATTCTAGTGTAGAATGGGCCTCCGTTTACAATATACTTACAAGAAATGTATCGTTTTTCAGTTCAGTTCAGTTGCTCAGTCGTGTCCGACTCTTTGCAACCCCATGAACCACAGCACGCCAGGCTTCCCTGTCCATCACCAACTCCCAGAGTCCACCCAAACTCATGTCCATTAAGTCGGTGATGCCTTTCAACTATCTTATCCTCTGTCGTCCCCTTCTCCTCCTGCCCTCGATCTTTCCCAGCATCAGGGTCTTTTCAAATGAGTCAGCTCTTTGCATCAGGTAGCCAAAGGATTGGAGTTTCAGTTTCAGCATCAGTCCTTCCAATGAACACCCAGGACTGATCTCCTTTAGGATGGACTGGTTGGATCTCCTTGCAGTCCAAGGGACTCTCAAGAGTCTCCTCCAACACCGCAGTTCAAAAGCATCATTTCTTGGGCGTGAAGGTAGACTTAGGTGGTACCTACCTGATGCCAGTAACATGCTTTTCAGTTATGAACCCATTTTGTGTGCACCCTTGCCCTTTTAAAGAGTAACGTGACTGTTCTGTTTCACAGATGAGAAAACAAGGGCAAAGCTGCTTGTCCTCCAGCCAGAGGGAGAGTCACGGGTTAAACCCAGGCCAGTGTTCTTAGGCCCCGCTGACGTTCTGCCTCCCGGGGACCCTCTGAGAGGATGGGGGCGCCTTTGCTCTCTGCAGGTCTCAGCTCTCTGAACCACCCTGGGAGGTGCTGCAGCCCCACTCATGAATCTCTTCTCGCTTCTGCTTTTTGCAGATTGATGACACAGGCAGATTCCAAGTCATCATTATCCCATCCGGAGCTGACTCCGTACCAGCACTCGAGGAACTCCAGCGGTGTACTTTCTGCTACGGTGAGACCCCCGGGGAGAGCATAACTTGATCAGCAGCATAGTGAGTCACTATGGAAAGGAGGGGCTGGAACTCGGTGACAGCGAGTGGTCTCGGGAGGGTCTCCCCGGGGCTCACCCTGCCACACAGCCTCAACCACAGGTGGAGCCTCTTAGCTCATGCACCTTCTGGGAAACAGGAATCATCTTTAGAAATAAACTCAGCCTGCCTCATGGCCAACTTCCTTGTGCGGTGAAATACATTTATGAGCTTTCTAAACCTCAAATGTTCACAGTCCCAAAGAAATGCTTTATGGTGGAAGTGGAAGTTAGCAGAAATGGATTTCTCATTAGAAAGAGGCTTTCTCAAAGCCCCAAACGTTAGGGATCTGAAAGATTTGCGATGCCGATTTGCCTGTGACTGTTTACACCCAATATGTAATTCTAGCTAGAGAACGGGCCAAAACCTGCATTTGAGTGTTCTAATAATTTGAACATGCTAGTAATTACAAGAGTGGGAGTCGCTGAGGTTTCTGGTGGGTGTGATCGCTAACGGTTATCAGACATTCATTATTAGCCACGCACTGTTCTAATTGCTTTATGTAACAGTGATGGTGGTGATGATGATATTTAATACTTAGGCTATTGGGTTTAATGCATTCCAAGTGCAGTGCAGTGCAGTACAAGTCGCTCAGTCATGTCCGACTCTTTGCGACCCCATGGACTTTACAGCCCATGGAATTCTCCAGGCCAGAATACTGGAGTGGGTAGCCTTTCCCTTCTCCAGGGGATCTTCCCAACCCGGGATTGAACCCAGGTCTCCTGCAGTGCAGGCAGATTCTTTACCAGCTGAGCCCCAAGGAATGCATTCCAAACACCCTTGTAACAGTTTCATTTGATCCTTATAATGGCCCTAAAATTTTTGAATGATTATTAGATCCATTTTACAGATGAGGTGAAATAATTTGCTCACAGCCAAATTGAAATCGAGAAGGCCGGTTTTAAGACACCTGTGGTTTATGAGAAACACAGATCGCATTATGCTGTTCCCTGAGACTCTGTACTTAGCCTTGAAGTAAACGGTTAATTCCTCTCCTTCTCCACATGTGTCAGTGAGATGCTCCTTCTGGCCGTATGAGTGACTCCTGGGCAGGTGGTGACTCTGAGAGAGAGGTGGGATTCTCTCTTAATAACGCTGTCTTCCTGCTGTCTTGCCCGCTGCTGCCCTCTGATCAGTCACTTCCCCCAGCCCCAAGGAGCTCACCACACTGCGGGCAGATTCTTCCCACTCGGGTTCTCAGCTGTGGGTTCAGACTCAGTGACACATGCGCCAGTGTGATTTGTGGTCAGAAGTTATCCGCGTGTGTCTGGAGATAGATCTGGGCTCCATTTCTTAAAGCCTTGTTTTGTCTCTGAGGCATTAAATGGAAGGTATTTTGGCTGTTGTTTCCTGCAATTAAGAAACCCCACAAAACTGAGCAAATGGGTGGGCTGCTGGTTTTAAATATGTATTTATTTATTTGGCTGTGCTGGGTTTTAGTTGCAGCACATGGGATCTTTAGTTGCGACATGCAAACTCTTAGCTGCAGCATGTGGAATCTAGTCCCCTGACCAGGGGCCAAACCCAGGCCCCCCTGCGTTGGGAGCTCCTAAGTCTTAGCCACTGGACCACCAGGGGCGTCCCCAGAGTTTATATCTTTATTGAGCCCGTGAGCAAGACTGGAGTTCTGAAGTTTGCTCCATCCATTAAGGATCTGCACTCTGCTTATTAACCTTTCATTTAATCACTTTTATTCATGGCTGGGCCCTTGTCTAAGTACTGGCTGTCCACATGTGTAGTTAGTTTTCCATTTCTCTTTGGTTTTTAAAGAGAAAAGTCTCTTTAATGCTCATCCTTAACCATCAACTGTTATTGAAAATGTAGGACTGCAGAGTGTTGGCCCTATAAGGGCTCTCTAGGTACATCTAATCCAACCATCTCATTCTATGGAACTGTGGCCCGGTGGAGGCTTGGACAGGGGCACACAGCTTGTTTGTTACTGGGGACACAGACCAGAGCCCAGATATCCTGACTTTCAGGCCAGTGGGCCTATCCACCCTGCTGAACAATGTGGCCTTGCCTCACACAGTACAGCGCTGATTTCATATGCAGATACTTCTAGAAATGCGGATGTGTCCTTTGGCAAAATGATTTTATTCTCCTGCCCTCAGGCTCTTTAGTAAAATTAGGAGATTAGATGACCTCTAAGATCCTTTCATTTCCAAGTTTTTTTTTGTTCCTCTGAGTATTGTGGTCAGATTCAGTCAAATGCACTCTCTGTTTTATTACTACACCTTCTTTTAGAAAATGAGATATGCACACATTAAAATGACCTCATATTTTATGAAAGCCCATTAACATGTAGTATTTATATCCATTTATTTAATAAACACATACTGAGCATTCAACTGATCGGTATAATATATAAATGGTAGCTCTGTCCTTAATGTCTCTACAGGGAAAAAAAAAGACATTGAGTTATAAACCTTTATTTAAATTGAAATAAAAGATGCATTGCTTTTTTTGCACTCTTCCATTTTAAGCAGATTTCTTTTCATAATAAGGTAGCGTGTGCAGAATGACAGGGACCCTTGGTTTAACCTGTATATTGTTAATTAGAGAGGTCATTTCTTTTTACGTCATGATACAGTAAACACACATGCAAACATGAGATCAACTGTCCAAGTCAATCTTTATAAACTTAAAATGCAGCCAAGATGAAACTTCTGTTGAAAGCAACCTAATTTCAAAGAGTCAGATAATGTCAGTGAATGGAACTCCACACATGGACTGAGTTTAAAATCTGTACTTTGGGGATCAGGGTGCAAACCACATAGTAGGAAATCTTCCTGTCGCTGACCTCAAAGTCATTTAGTTACTATATTAACATCAAAGATCATGCAGACTCCAAATGTCGAAATGCTAGAGATGCTATCTTCCCTTTTACTGTCCGTTTCTGTTTAGTAACCCTAGATGACTTTCGGTCTACAGATGTGTGCAAGCCGGATGCTTCTTGCCATCAAGCCAGACCACCCCCTGTGCAATCTTATGTGGACGCTGCTTTCCTTCTGGACGGCTCCCGGCACGTGGGAAGCACAGAATTTGAAGACATACGGGGATTCTTGGGAGCACTGTTAGATCACTTCGAAATCACCCCAGAGCCTGAGACCTCTGTCACCGGAGACCGGGTGGCACTATTAAGCCTCAGTCCCCCTCACTTCCTACCCAACACTCAGAGGAGCCCTGTTATAAGCGAATTCAACCTGACCACCTACAAGAATAAGCGCCTCATGAAGAGACACGTGGAGGAATCCGTTCAGCCGCTAGATGGAGATGCTTTTATTGGTCATGCCTTACAGTGGACTCTGGACAATGTCTTCTCAAGGGCACCCAATCTGAGAAGAAACAAAGTCATTTTTGTGATATCTGCTGGGGAAACCAGCCACTTGGACAGGGAAACCTTAAAGAAAGAATCCCTGAGGGCCAAGTGTCAAGGTTATGTCCTGTTTGTGTTTTCCCTTGGGCCTTCTTGGAATGACCAAGAACTGGAAGATCTAGCCAGCTACCCTTTGGATCACCACTTGGTCCAGCTTGGCCGCATTCATAAGCCTGACCACAGATATGGTGTGAAGTTTGTGAAGGCTTTTATAAGCTCAGTCAGGCGTAAGTCATAAAATCATATTCTTTCTTGCACATTTCAGTATATTTGGTGTTCCCCAAAGAAGGGCTGATGAACTGACATGGATTCTTGGAAGCCTCTGTCTTCAAGGGCGCTGCAGGGTCAGAAAGGAAAATAGAGAATGATGGATGGTGGAGGGAGGAAGCCTATGATTTCTAAGCGTTGAATTCTCTGGCTCCTCTTTTTTACGCCTCTGGTTCCTATGGAGAAGCAATCATAACAAACAGCTACTCACACATCTGTCTGCAGGGAGCAGCATAGTTTGGGAGTGTGAAGTCACAGTCAGGATACTAGTTACGAAGTAGAAACCCTTGCCATGTAACATTATCACGCTGCCCTTTGATGGAAAGTTTGACCAGATAACACTCCGAGAGAGAGCTAGAGAAAAATTCAACAATCCTTGGCTTTGCTTTTACAAGTTCTAAAGGGAGAGTTCGAAGTTTTAGGAGGCAACACTTTACATGTCAGAATGAAAGATGCATCCTTGCAAAACTTTCTTAGCTTTATTAATGATTTTTTATGATGCCAGTAATTAGTGTCACTGTTGCCCATAAAAAAGAAACGTGGGTTGTATTTCTTGGCACGAGCTTGTCTCGAAAGTATGCAATTCATTTTGAATGCATCAGGATGGATTCAGAGAAGCCCTGTCCTGATATGGCTAAGGAGGTCGAAACTGTCAGACTTCTGATCATTTTTCTTGGAGTTCAGATGAGGGAAAGTGAACACACAGGCTAACGGACACCCAGTGCTGCATCCTATGTCTCAAACGTGTCACTGGCATTCACCGTGAGACCAGCTAAGGCTGCAGAGACCCTGACTGGCCGGGCCGGTGAGGTCCGAGGGGCCTTGGGAAATGGTCGATGGGGCCCTCGAGTTCTCTGCTACTCTAGGTGAGTCTAGGACCAGCGTCCCAGCATCTCCTGGGAGCTTATGAAAAATGCAGACTCTCCTGCCCCACCCTGGACAGTTTGTTCCAGAATCTGCATTTTATCAAGACCCCCAGTGATTCCTATATACATTATTGTTTGAGAAACACTGATACAGGATGCTCCTGTGTTCCATATGCTCCTAGAATAAAACTTCCGTGGATGGGTTCTGGAATAGGAACCAGAAAGAAGAGCTGGGAAAATGACAGAAAAAAAAAATAAGTGAAGGCCAGGGGTCATTTGGAAAGAAGAAATCATAAGGCATTTGTAAGTGTAAAACAAAAGAACACCTTGAAACTCAGCCACTGAAAAGCCAGGCACTCTTCTTATTAGCATTCCCCTCCCCCGGCTTCCTTCCCCTCTCTACAGAAGGGTTCTCCTGTCCTTACTATGTGGCAACTTGCTTGTGGCTTGCAATGGTTCCAGACCCTGAACTACAAGAGTCTGCCGATGGCAAATAAACCCATTTTCATGGAAAAGCAGAACAGAAAACACCTTGAAAGACTGAGAAATTTGTCAAGAAACACTCCTTATAAGGCAAAAAATTGAAAGGAAGTTTAGATGGAATTTCCTTTCCTGGTCCCACAAAATTCTCAGTGGCATTTCATGGTAACTAGTCAAACTGAATAATTAGGTAAATGACACCCTCACCACCGCCCAGGGAGAGGGAGGAGATGCTTTAAGAAGAATCACTTGGAGTGGGTGAGAAATGTGTAAAGTGCTTGTCAAAGTCATGACACCACTTTTCTAGAAAGTATCTAGAAATCTCCAGCATTTAAACAATAGCTTTCAAAGTACAAAAAGTTGAAAAGACTTTGACATTCAGTTCAGTCGCTCAGTCATGTCTGACTCTTTGCGACCCCATGGACTGCAGGACGCCAGGTCTCTCATGTCCATTGAGTCGGTGATGCCATCCAACCATCTCATCCTCTGTCGTCCCCTTCTCCTCCTGCCCTCAATCTTTCCCAGCATCAGGGTCTTTTCCAGTGAGTCAGTTCTTCGCATCAGGTGGCCAGAGTATGACTCTGACATAATCATATTCAATCCCGCATCCTCCATTCAGAGCAGGCCCCCAGACCCACACGCCCCTCTTCAATATTAACACATATGTAGGGGCTTTTCAGGTGGCGCAGGGGTGAAGAATCCGCCTGCCAGTGCAGGAGATGCAGCATATGTGGATTCAGTCCCCGCCTTGGGAAGATTCCCCCGGAGGCAGAAATGGCAACCCCCTCCAGTGTTCTTGTCTGAAAACTCCCATGGGCAGAGGACAGGCTCCAGTCCATGGGGTCACAAAGAGTAAGACGCGACTAAGCAAATAAGCGCACAGCACATTAGGTACCTACTTTGGGCCACTCACTGTTGAGGGGCGGGGTATCAAGGAGGAACCAAAACAGATCTGATCCCAACCCTCCCAGACATGCCCATCCAGCTCCCTCTCTACCTGACTCTCGTTTACACACTACTGTGACAGAATTGGCTATCAGACACAATTCACATCAGAACGTGTATTTTCTAAGCAAAACTACTAACAGCCTGATACTCAGAGTGAAGACAGATAGCTAAACATCAGACGCGCATGAAGGAAACATCCCAGCCTTGGCCGTTCAGTCTAGACCCACACAGTTCAGTTCTTAACAGCAGCCCAGGAGATGGCGCTGGGCCACAGCCCAGGGCCAGCTTGCAGCTTAAGATGACCCAGGATCACCAGCAAGAGGTTTAATCATGTGTGACACACAATTAAATTGAAGGCTTCAAGGAAATAAATAATGCCTTTTTAAAGTTTCTCATCAAAAAAGGCTTTTTAGAAATGGTATTGGAAGAAGCATGCTTTAATAGTATGAAAAAAGAATATATTTCAGATGAAATGAATCATAGTGAATTAAAACCAAAATGGACTGCGGTTACTGTTGTTCTTAATGATACAGAGAATGTTAGGGGAATATCCTTCTCCTTTTGCAATTTGGCATTTCAAAGGAGCAAATAAAAAAAATAACTATTCTGATTAGTTCATGTCGGTCAGAGGCCAGAATGTCAGGATGGGCCCATCTCCTCTAATGTTTAATGGACTTGAGCAGCTAAGAACATCTTATTGAAAAGTAAGTTGAATTCTCTACTTATACATTTGGCAGTCGTGAACCTAGTTCTAGACCTCGTTTTAGAGAGTCTGGTGAGAAATCTGCTTTCATCTCATATGGCCACCCTAGTTGGTGTCTTTCTTTCACGATGTTGAGTACAGTGATGTGATGCTTTGCATGCAAAGCCGATTGCTGTCATGTTAATTGCTGTGAATGAGAGTCTCCTCACAGATTTTCTTTTTCTTCCTAGGTGCAATCAACAAATATCCACCAATAAATATCAAAGCAAAGTGCAACAGACTCAGTTCTACGGATCCACAGCAGCCCCCACTACAGTTTGTGCGAAGGTATTAACCTGCTTGGTATTTACTTAAACAACGAATGTGCCACCCTCTTCCCCCACCTTCTTTTCTCCCTCTTCATCTATGCTATTTGGACAAAATCTATCAGTATATGACAATAAAATATAAGTTGAGGGAACAAGAGATAATAAAAAATGACCAGGTTGAACTGAAAACAGAGTTTTTTAAAACAGAAAATCTAATTGTTGAACTAAAACAACCAATGGGACACCCCTGTGGCAATGAGCACACCAAATAGCCAGATCTTGTTTTCTAAGAATCACTCCCATTGAAAGCAATCAGGGCTCCTTGGAGAAATAACTAATTCGAGGCTGTAACAGGGCAAGAGCAATGTGAACCTGGAACATTCATTATGCAAGAAAGTAGCAAAAAATCACAGTCATGTCAAAAGGACAAATGAGCTGTCTTGAAAGGGTTTACCACTGGCAGGATTTTGGACTATTTGAACATCAGAAAGAATAATGATGGTAATGGATCACAACACTGACTTTTAAAAATATGCAGCTCTATGTAGACACCCAGAAAGAGAGGAGGGGAGGAAATGTTCTTTTTTTATACAAGTATGCTAGCTAATAAATGGAGGAGAAGTGGTAGAATTAGAAAACCACAAGTCTGTAATCCCTGTTGTAATAACTGAGTCAGGCAAGGATAAAGGAATGCTAAACCCAGTGGGTGACTATTTCCAGCCCCAGAGAAGCCCTCCCACACTTACTAATTACAAACAAAGGAACAACCTTTCCTGCTGAGGTCGGGCCACACCCACTGTAAGCAGGATCTGACACTCTATCTTCTCAGGGGAGGCAGGGGAGACACAGTACCAAACATGGGATTCTGGCCAGAGAGCTTTGACCCAAGTCAAATAATGAGGAAACCATTCCAGAATGTGGACCGTCCTTCAAAGCAGCCCACCTGTTTTCTTTCTAGGGGTCAACGTCATGAGCAGCAGAGGGGTGTGGGGTAATGTCCTAGGATGGGAGAGGCTACAGACAAAATAGTCACGTGGGGTGGAGTGAACCTCGATTGGATCCTAGAGCAGAAAAAAAAAAAAAAGCCTGTATTTTTTTTTNCTCAACATTCAGAAAACTAAGATCATGGCATCTGGTCCCATCACTTCATGGCAAATAGATGGGGAAAAAGTGGAAGCAGTGACAGATTTTCTTTCCTTGGGCTCCAAAATCACTGTAGATGGTGGTTGCAGCCATGAAATGAAAAGACGCTTGCTCCTTGGAAGGAAAGGTATGGCCAACCTAGATAGCATATTAGAAAGCAGAGACATCACTTTGCCGACAGAAGTCTGTATGGTCAGTGCTGTGTTTTTCCCAGGGGTCATGTACAGATGTGAGAGCTGGACCATAAAGAAGGCTCAGCACTGAAGAATTGATGCTTTTAAATGATGGTGCTGAAAAAGATTCTTGAGAGTCCCTTGGACAGTAAGGAGATCAGTCAGTCCTAAAGGAAATCAACCCTGAATATTCATTGGATGATCTACTGCTGAAGCTCCAATACTTGACCATGTGATGTGAAAGCTGACTCATTGGAAAAGACTCTGATGCTGGGAAAGATCGAAAGCAATAGGGAAAGGGGGCAACAGAGGATGCGATTGTTAGACAGCATCACCAAATCAATGGTCATGAATTTGAGCAAACTCCAGGAGATAGTGAGGGGCATGCTACAGTCCATGGGGTCTCGCAAAGAGTCAGACACAACTTAGCAGCTGAACAACAACAACATGTATGTATGTGTACAGACACAGGGGAGCAAGGCGATAACAGGCGGGAAGACCATTTAGATGAAAGGTATACTGGTATTTACCCGTGGTTCTCTGTTCTCTACAATATTCTGCAAACTCGACCATTTTCAAAATAAAAAGATAACTTGTAAAATCCCATGGCTGGATTAAACAGAGCAACAGACACATCTGAAGAGAAACATAAAGAACTGGAAAATAAAGCTAAAGAAGTTGCTCAGAATGCAGCAGGTGAAGTCATCACAGTGAGAAGCCCCCAGTGAAGAGGAGCCCCTTCTTGCGACAGTCAGGGGAGGCCTACTTAAAAGAGCAACAAAGAGCCAGCATAGCCAAAAAACATCAAATAAAAAAGAACTCATGACAGACATGAATTAAAAGATGAAACAAATGCAAGGTGTAACAGGCAGGATAAATAGAAAAAAACAAAAAACAGTTCGAATGGTGCAGGGGAATGCGGAACACCAGGATGAACAAAACTTAAAAGCAGCTAGAAAGAGGAGATCTGCAGAGAAACTATAATTAGGCTGACAACTGAATAATCAGTAGCAGCAGTAGAAGCCACAAAGCTATTGAGAACCTTCTAAATAATGGAAGGAAAATTTTGCCAGCTTAGAAAAACTGCCTTTCAAAAGGTGTTTTTAACAGAAAAAAAAAAAATACAAGTTGTACTAAGACTGTAAATGTGTGTTGATAAATATTTATTATTTATCGATAAACATGAGAAGACACTGAACAATGCAATTATCTTTCGGTTATTAAAAAAATGAAGCCTTGAGCTTCAATGCAGTGACGGAAAATGAAATTAAAACAAGCAATATAATATTTTTAAAATAAAAAAGCAAGAAAGGAAAAATAGAAGTAGTAAGCACAAAATAAGATAGCAGAATCCAGTCCATTTCTATATGTCAGCAATCATAATAAAAATACACAGATTAAGCATGTCAGTTACACTTAGTAGATTTAAGAAAACAAAATAAAATCCAGCTATAGCTGTTTTTAAGATAAGGACAAGCTAGAAGATAAGGGTATGGGAAAGGTGAAAGTAAACTTATGGAATAAAGTATAATAGGCAAATATTTTAAAAAGAAAATTGGAATAGCCTTATATCCAATAAAATATACTTAAATTTTTTTTTATTTTATTGAGTATAGTTGATTTACAATGTTGTGTTAGTTTCTAAGTGAAGTAAGTCAGATAAAATATACTTCTAAACAAAACCATTTTGTATGGATAGAGTACATGATCACTACATGATGATAAAGTGTTTAATTCATGATGAAGATATAACAATTCTAAATTTATATGAGGGGCTTCCCTGGTGGTTCAGATGGTAAAGAGTCTACCTGCAATGCAGGAGACCTGGGTTCAATCCCTGTGTCTGGGAGATCCCCCTGGAGAAGGAAATGGCAACCCACTCCAGTATTCTTGCCTGGAAAATCCCACAGACAGAGGAGCCTGGTGGGCTACAGTCCGTGGGGTCGCAGAGTCGGACATGACTAAGTAACACTTTCATAAAATAATATTGAGATGTACAAAGTGAAAATTGAAAAAGGAATAGTAGCCATTTAAATATCATCAGGGTTGGAGATTTTGGTACATCAGTTTGAATACTGTTAGGTCAAGCAGACAAAAATTAAAGTGGTTTAATCATAAGTAACAAGCTTGATTGAATAGACTCATATAGAATTCTGTGCAGAAAAATGAGACATTCTTCTGAACAAATGGAATGTTAATGACTCTCCATCAGGGTAGAGTGTACAGATGTCTACTGTGCAATTTTATTTATAAAGCAACTATCAACAAATCTCTAAAAACTGGCTTCATACAGTCCAAATTGATCACAATTAAGTTGGAAATTCATACATGCAATATTTTCACAGCCCATATATTTTAAAATCAAAATCACATTTCTAAATAACTAATGAAAAAGTTCATAATAAAGCTTAGAAATATTGTTAGAAGTACATAACAATCAAAATACTACATGCCAAAATTTGTGGGATGCTTGCTTCAGAATTCATATTTTAGCAAAGTTCATAGTTTTAATTCTTGTGTTAGGGAAATTTCTTTGACATTCAGTGTTATATTAGTTTCAGGTGTACAACACAGTGATTCAACATTTGTATACATTACTAGATGATCACCATGATAAGTCTAGCTATTCTCTGTCACCACTTAAAATTATAACAATATTATTGACTATATCCCATATTCTGTATGTTGCATCCGCATGACTTTTTTATTGTATAACTAGAAGTTTGTGCCTCTTAATCCCCTTCTCCTGTTTTGCCCATCCTCCCACATTCCCTCCTGTCTAGCAACCACCACTTCATATTGATGAATCTGTTTCTGGGTATTTTGTTCATTTGCTTTGCTTTTTAGATTCCACATGTAAATGAAATCACATGGTGTTTACCTTTCTCTGTCTGACATATTACACTTAGCATAATACTCTCTAGGTCCATCCATGTTACAAATGGCCAGATTTCTTTGTTTTTATCACTGAGTAATATTCCATTGTGTATAAATTCCACATCTTTATCCATTCATCTATTGATGGACACTTAGGTTCCTTCCACATCTTGGGTATCGTATATAGTGCTGCAGTGAACATACATTTTTTCAAATTAGTGTTTTCATCTTCTTCAGGAAAATACCCAAAAGTACAATTGCTGGGTCATATGGTGGTTCTATTTTTAATTTTCTGAGAAACCTCCATACACTTTTCCACGGTATGTCAGGGAATCTTTTAAACTTTAAAAGCTAATGAGGTAGACATTGTTCTTAAGATGTAATAGAAAATATATACTAAAAAAATTAAATAACAAGGCCCCACTGTATAACACAAATAACTATATTCAATACCCTATGATATTGGATGGAAGGGAATCCAATGGAAAGGAATATTTAAAAAAAGAATGTATATATATGTGTGTGTGTGTAACTAAATCACTTTGCTCTATGCCAGAAATTAACACAACATTGTAAATCAACTATATTTCAATTAAAAACTTTTAAAATACTTAAGTAAAAAAATACTTCAATAAAAAAACTGAAACTAACACAACATTGTAAATTAACTGTACTTCAATTTTTTTAAAGATGTAAAAATGTAATTTAAAAATAATTTAAAAAATTTTAAAGTGTTATAGGACAAAAACAGAAATACTCAAAGAATGGAATGAGAGTAGAACTTACTTTTTAAAAATATCTTAATTAAAAAAATTGCCAGCAACAAAGGCAAAAGTTGGTTATTTTAAAACAATAATATACATATAGATCATATCCTTTGCATGTACAAATATTACTTATTTTTAAAATCAAAAATAATTGAAATCAAGCAGTTAGGAGAGTGTTTGTGTGTGTGTGTCAGTGTAAATCACAGTGTACTAACACGTTCCCCCCGTAGAGCTGAAGTCAGTGCCCCAGTCGAGGCTGAGACAGACGCCTCTGAGTGTGGCTTCTCTCGCTGTGAGGAGGGTGCGTCCCCGCGCGGTGATGGGCCGGAGAGCCCCCCTGATTCGGCTCCAGAAGCTGCAAGAAGCCTCTGCCTGGAGGCTCCTCACCTTGCTGGGAGGCGGGGGAACTGTCCAGCAGCAAACGCTTCTGAAGTCAGGCTCAACAGGCCGGCGCGGTCAGTCCAGGCGGGGCAGGGCTCCCCCTGCTGCAGGCGTCTGGCAGTGTGGAAAGTGCCCTCGAGTTAGCATGAGCATCAGGCTTGATATATTACAGGTAACTGCAAGGCCCACGCGGGAGCCAGCCTATCAAAATTAAAGACATTTTTGGAAAAGCTTCCCACCCTGCATTTCCTCCTGCGTCTGCACTTTGCCCTAAGATATACTCAGTTCAGTTCAGCCGCTCATTTGTGTCCGACTCTCTGCAACCCCATGGACTGCAGCACGCCAGGCCTCCCTGTCCATCACCAACTCCCGGAGTTCCCTCAAATTCATGTTCATGGAGTCGGTGATGCCATCCAGCCATCTCGTCCTCTGTGGCCCCCTGCTCGGATTCTCCTGCATGCCTGGAAGGGTGAGATGCCAGGAAATGCCGGGCGTATGGAGGAGACAGATCCACACTGCTGTCGGTGATTCCCTGACAGCATGTTCGACCAAGACCCCCCGGGTGTTTCCTAAGTCATCAAAGACCGTAATAAAAGGTAACAAGCCACACGGCTGCTTCTGAAACTCCCTGCCTGAGCCTTTCAAGAGCTGGGCATGTGGGATTGAGGGAGATGAGAATGCCTGGCAGCAAGGGGCCTGGCCACCAGGATTTCTTTGTCCTCAGGATGACTTGCATGAGAAAGTAGATCATTCCACTGTCAGATTCTGAGAAATACAGGTTGAAGCTGGTTCTTCTCCAATGGAAAAAAAAACAAAAAGACTTTGAACCAAACCACAAGCAACCAGGGAAATGGATGCCCATGAGGGAGAGACTGCAAGGGCAGCCTCTACATAAGCACCTACATCCACTCAGAGAGAATACCAGAAGCTACCTGCCTATTCATCTAGGCAGGCAAGCACTCCTGCCAGACTTGGAAGCGACAGCAGGCAGGCCAGAACCACAACAATTGAACTGTTAAAATGGACCAGGTTACCAGTGCCGTGTGACTACACATCTGTTATAATTCTAATTTCCAAAGTGTTTTCTTTAGACGCACAAAATGTGTAAGACGAAAAGAATTCTTGAACTAAAAGCCATCTTGCCTTCATTTTCCACTCCACTGCATCCAGTCAACTAATAAATGCAGCTTGACTGATTCCTGGTTGTCTGCATAGTTGAAGGAATCTGTGATCACAGAGGAATGAAATCTGCAATTAGTCCCACCCATTTTTCTTTCCCAAGTTTTACTGGAGCTGAGCACAACTGCAAAATGAATGGATGGTATTTCATTCCTGTTTCTTTATGTTGACTACATCCTGTTGAAATTACCCATCAGCAAAGAAGTATCTGAACAACATAGAATGAAAAGAAAGAAAATCAGAAAGTCTCTGTGATTCCTGGAATAATGAAATGATTGTTACTGAGCATTTAACCAATTACAATCTCCATATATGATCCAGTGGAAAAGATGGAAGATTCAGAGATACAGTGTTTATTATGTTCAACCCTTTTAAGAATAAAAATATTTGAGGGGGAAGGGTAGCATCACAATCCTGTAGAAGGAATTTAACTTTTTCTTAACAAAGAGGGAGGAGGAAGACAAAGACGGCTAAATTTGCTGGAAAAAGGATCAAATACAAAGGGAGAGAGTGAGGCTGGAGGGGAGAAAGCAGTATAGACAAGGGAAACTCAACCGTGGAAACGTGTGTCTGAGACAATGTCCCCTCAAACCGGCGGGGCCATGGTTCGGGCATATAGACAGTTACCACTTTGGGGGATTTGAGTCCGCAACATTTAGTCCGGAAGTTAACCAGAAAATGGGGCTTCCCTCATTGCTCAGTTGGTAAAGAATCTGCCTGCAATGCGGGAGACCTGGGTTCGATCCCTGGGTTGGGAAGATCCCCTGGAGAAGGGAAAGGCTACCCACTCCAGTGTCTGGCCTGGAGAATTCCATGGACTGTATATTCCACAAGGTTGCAAAGAGTGACTAAGCAACTTTCACTTTTCATTTAAACTTGAAAAGCGCAACAGGGGAAGGTGTGAGGAAATGGTGTTTGCCCTGGAATTACGCCAGGGCTGCTATTCTTGGTGATTGAAGGAGCTTGTCAGTCGACACAGCGTATCCGTGAGAGCACGGATAGGAGCCCAGACGGTGTACACGGTCAGACGCCTCGGGGTCTGTGGCGCAGGGCCTGGCTGTTGGTCTGAGGTCTCCCTTACCCCCCGCCCTCGCTACAGACGAAGAAGAAAGCGTGGTGAGTGTGTGAGACAGACAGAGGGCACAGCAAGATAACCTCAGCCTCGTTTTACGTCCTTTACTTACTCGTTTTCTAAATCACAATGCTTTTGTGAGAGAGACCGGACTGACAGCGGGACAAGGCAGAGAAATCCAAAAGCAAAGGAGGGGACTGTGGTGACAGTGGTGAATGGCGGCTGCTGTCCTCACATTTTGGAGGACATTTTGGTCTCAACATTTTGGGGTTCTTATGTATGACTCTTCCACAATCAAAACGCAGCTAGCCTCTCTTATGCCACCAGGCCCCTCTCATTTATTTAAAAGTATTTGTGGAGAGCTCATGGCTTCCTAACTTCGGCCCCTGGCAACCTGCCCTCCTGCGGTCCTGCACCCATGTATTCAGGTCTTCTGACAGCATGACATTCATCATTTCACTTTCTTATTCCAAATATCGTGAGAGTCCTCCGTAGTTTCCTGGGTAAAAACCTAGTTTCACGAAAGTAACACAGGACTCTTAAACTCTCGCAAGAATCTGGTTGTAGCCTCAGCTCTGCCTCTCCTGAGTCCCACACTCACCTCTAAGCAGCTGACACCATGGGGCTTTGTCACTCACAGCATTGGTGGGTTTTTAGTCTCTTTACACCTGAAGAAACAAGGATCCCTCTAGTTAAGTGGGCTGCTCAGCTAATAACTAGAGTCTGACCTAGAATACAAGAATGTTTCAGGACTCACGGCTCTTTCCACGGCCTCCCTGTAAGATAAGGTCTGAAACAGCTCCCGTTCCACACTGTCCATTTCCATCGCCACCAGCTTTCAACTAAATGGAACTAAAAATTCACTTCCTTATCACACTAGGCACATTTCAAGTGCTCAGTTGCACGTGGGGCAGCGGCTGCCGTACCGGCCAGTGCAGCTCACGGGGCCTTTCCACCAGCACAGAAAGCTCGACAGGACAGGCTCGGACTTGTGGTCAGCTGCACAAGGCTTCTGACTTCCCTGACTCACCGCGCTGGCATTCAAGGCCTCTCCGAGTCTGACCCTAGCTCCACGTTTTTGTTGGATTACTCTTGACTCCCAACCAAACACCTGTGTGCCGGCCAGACCGGGTGTTAGGTCTGTATCCCCCACTGTACCTAACATAGTGCTTTCGTTAGAGCGTGAACCTTCAGATGGATGGATGATGGATGGATGGGAGGGAAAGAAGAGGAAAGAAGGGGGAAGGAAGAGGAATTCCTCCATATGCTTTCACTAGATCAATGCTGACAGCTAACAAGTGCTAAGCACTCCTTTGGTTTCCTGGGGTTACCACAGTCACCAGATATGGCTTCATGACACTTTCCGTCTGGGATGGTGGGAGGATGGGGAAATCACAAAGTTCACAAGTTAAAATTCAGATAGTGCTTAAGTGTTAGGAAAAAAGTAATAGCCTATAGTTCTGAGTGTCTGCGATGGGGACAACTATGCATATGGTGGTCTCTAACGAGGTACCATTCAAACCAAAATCTGAGTAAACAGAAGCCAATCATATGAAGTTCTGGGTAGAACATGCTCCATGAAGAAGAAACGTTGCTGTTACAAAATTAGACTTTTGCGTACTTTGACAAGGTGTCTTATTCATCCACTTCTGATATACCTGTGCAGTGTAAATCCCCAGTCGAATCATCTTAATACACTTACCCTGAAGGAAGGCTAAAACAAGAATGGGTACACGACCATTTAGGAAGACAGGTTAATACAGAATCTGTTCAAGATCAATGCTGACAGCTAACAAGTGCTAAGCACTCCTTTGGTTTCCTGGGGTTACCACAGTCACCAGATATGGCTTCATGACACTTTCCGTCTGGGATGGTGGGAGGATGGGGAAATCACAAAGTTCACAAGTTAAAATTCAGGTAGTGGTTAAGTGTTAGGAAAAAAGCAATAGCCTATAGTTCTGAGTGTCTGTGATGGGGACAACTATGCATATGGTGGTCTCTAACGAGGTACCATTCGAACCAAAATCTGAGTAAACAGAAGTCAATCATATGAAGTTCTGGGTAGAACATGCTCCATGAAGAAGAAATGTTGCTGTTACAAAATTAGACTTTTGCGTACTTTGACAAGGTGTCTTATTCATCCACTTCTGATATACCTGTGCAGTGTAAATCCCCAGTCGAATCATCTTAATACACTTACCCTGAAGGAAGGCTAAAACAAGAATGGGTACACGACCATTTAGGAAGACAGGTTAATACAGAATCTGTTCCAGCTGACATGGTAATATTTATCTTCTATGTCGTTTCTCTTCTTTCACTGTATAGCTTTGTTCCTGGGCCACACAGAGCTACCCTCAAAGAAGATGCATTGAAGAAGGCAAGGTTCTTTCAACACAAAAAATACTTTTCAAGAATAGCAGGAGGCGGCAGAGATGATACTATTCAAAATTTTACCAGAAACATATTCCATGTCTTTGAAAATGGAAAAAGGGTGATAAAAGCTGCTCCCAAACAACATGATAAAAGAAGCGCTCAGAGAGTTTAACCTCAGGAAGCATGGTAAGACTCTGGGCTCAAATAACTGCATTCACAGTCACAACGTCGGGCAATTTTGACTTGCGTTTCTCCCCGCATCCGAGGTCCAGTCTGAACATGTCACAGGTGGTGGGTCACTGTGCAACCTGACCCCATTCACTCATTGGTAGTAAGATGTATCTTGTCCATTTATTTGACCATTCCTGATAGTTCTAGCACTCAGACACTGGTATGTTCAAGAACTGTTATCATCAAAAGACAGAAGAACAAAAGGACTGTTTTGGAAAGTCTCATGGAGATACGATTTGAAGGTAAATGTTATGTCACATATACACGTGTGTACAGGGTCCAGCGCTCATGCTTTTGAAATTGAGGGTCTCCATCTAGTCCACCTTCTACAGGCTGAGCCTTGCTTCTGAGCTTAGGACTGATTAATTCTCATCTATTTAGCCAAAGGTTAATGTTTTGGGAGATCTCAGCATCAACCCAGAAACCAATGCTATTTGTATGCCTAACTTTGAAAATCTGACCTTCCACAACGATTCCATCTCAACCCACCTGTCTGCTGGGACTGACTGGATCTCCGATGGGCTTGTGCTGGAAGCTTTCCTCCACCTTGTGTAGCTGTTGGCTTGGACAGAAACAGAGGTTAACTTCCCCAGCTCCAAATCATCTTTAAACTCGCTGGGAAACTCATATTTGCTAAGAACATCAATTAAGTAGACCTTGTGCCAGCCCATTTTGATAGGACTTTTCTTCTTTCCCATTACTGTCAGTTATCATTCTTTTAAGTAACCTATGTATGCTTAGGCAAGAACAGTGCAGACAGAGCACGTCGTGGGTGGAAGCTCTGCATCACCTGTCAGGTGGCTCTTTTGTTAATAGTGAGCAGCTCCAGAGAGAACAGGCAGAGATCTGAAAAGGGCTTCAGTGCTCACTGAGCTTGGAAAAGACGAAGGTGTCCTTGTCCTCATCTACGAAGTCTTATGGGGGGTGGGGGTGGGATGCAAAGAGGTCACTGTGAGTGACAGCAGGCCAGGCAAGGCCTTCAGAGTGCACCTCTCGTGGCTCTGCTCACTCCCATCCAGAGCACATGCTGCATTTTTAACCAGCTAAATAAACACTGCAGGAGCAATCCTCGATTTAGACGTCATGTCAAGTTCTAAGAGCCTGCTCCACAGCTGGTTGCGGGAGCCTGGCCGCGGAGACGGCCGTGGGCTCCGGGGAGGCGGGGAGGCCCTGCAGGGCTGGGGGAGGCACGCGGCTGCGGACACCAAGTCCGTGGGGATCCCGACTCTCCTCCCTCGCCTCTGCTCACAAAACCTGGGCGAGAGCCATCTGCAGTGCCTTCTCCACATCACTTCTGCCATCCTTCCCCCGGCAACTCCATAGCACTGGCTCCCAACGTCTCCAGAGCAAGGAGTCAAACCGTTGCATCCACACTCAGGTAACAGAGAAGAATAAAGCACATTGGCCTTCTTTCTGTATCCTAAATGATGCTTAGGGGCTCAGGAAAAATTCAAGTACTGGAAATTGATGCGTGATATTTAAGAGGTATTTGAATAAAAAGGATTTTCCTGGTTAACTTTGGATTAAGCAAAAATTCCTTTTCTTGTTATTCTATTGAAATATTATTTGTCTATCCTCTCTGTATTGGTAAGTATGCCAAACAAGTATCCCATTGGTGATTTGAGATTATTTTAGCATTTTGTGGCATATTTTTAATCGTTAGTTAGTGAGGGGTCTGAAAGCATAATGTAAATATTAAGTTCCTTTAAAAAGTATTAATCCCTAATATTAGCATGTTTCCGTGATTTATTTTTCTCTTAAAAGGGCAAGTACCACAAATCGTAAATTAAACAAAACCCTATTTTTTTTTTCATTTATTAGTTGGAGGCTAATTACTTTAATTCCTCATCCATTTGTCTACTGATGGCCATCTAGGTTGCTTCCATGTCCTGGCTATTATAAACAGTGCTGCGATGAACACTGGGGTGCACGTGTCTCTTTCAGATCTAGTTTCTTCGGTGTGTATGCCCAAGAGTGGGATTGCTGGGTCATATGGCAGTTCTATTTCCAGAAACAAAACCGTATTTAAATCAAGAATTACACAAAATAAGCAGTGATGCTCTTGATATAGAAAATCAAATTAACTGACCATAAAGTATAAAGGACAATTTCTTCTATTATTTCTGCACTCAAGTATGAGTCAAATGTGTTTAAAAAACAAAAAAAAACTATGGAAGTCCAAAAGAGATGCAAACTTACTGCGGCAGCAGACAGTAACACTCAGAAGCGATTCAGCCAAATGGCCTTTTTTGAAGCGGTGGAAGGGGGCGTGCTCTTTAAGCAAGAGAGTGAACGGGGAGAAGTCCAGGAGGAACGGGCGGCTCGAGGCCCCCTTATAAGTTGATGTCTCACCTCTTCAGACTCCAAACCTGACTCAGCAGCTAGAAACTCACCCATGTGGTCTCGGCAGAGCTTAAGGGAAACAGAGGGCCAGCAATGTGACGGCGCCCACGGGAAACCTGCAAGTTTCGGCGCTCACGGACGCCCGGCCCAGTCCTGGCCTGACGGGACTGCCTGGCCGCTTTACCGTTTACTGGTCTAAACACCAAGTGCATTGAATCCTGTGTCCTGCAACTGTCATGTACGGTACTAAGTCAGGTACGTAATTACAGAAAGTTAACTTTTTGGCATATTTCTTAAACAAGTATTTTCCCTGGACTCAGATTATCTGTTCAACTTCTTGATTTTACAGACTCATGTTAACTAATTTCAAATCGAAATATTTTTGAACACCATAAACCCTTTGGCAAGTGGATGGACAGTGAAATGTGGATGGAGAAGTTCCTGTGCAGACAATAATCGATAAATCTGAAGGGTTCATTTTAGCGGGGAAGACCAAATTTTGGTCTTTTGAAAATATAAATTTTGGCATGTTTTTAACAGCTTCATCTTTTTCTCTCTTCGTGCATTTAATAAATAATATACACTGGATAAAAGCAAGTTGATGGGCCAAGTTCTAGAATTTATAGGAGAAACTATAAAAAAAACAGTCATGATGACCAAGAAGAGACATGTTTCTCTGGAGCTGGCAACAGGAGATCAAGTCTCCAGGGTTAGACATCTAAGAAGGCCAGCTCTAAAACAAGGGCGGAAGGGTGGGCCGGAGCAGGACGCATGCCACTCAGAGTCCAAAGCTCTGGACACAGGCCTGGCTATGTTACTAAGCGCCTGTCACACTGGGTCCACACACTGCCGAAGGCTACTCTTCTGCCAAATTTACTGTTAAAAACACCAACAAAAACACACACACACCCATTAAAATGCTTGAATACAGTTTACTGGCTGTTTTGAATAGCATTTTTAATAGCAAAAAAAAAAAGCGTTTACATTATAATAGCTTACAACCAACTTTCAACTGTCTTTTTTTAATACAAAGTAAATTGAGATCACGTAAGTCATTTTAAATTCCTTACCTCTGTGATATATACAATAAGAAAGTGCCAGATACTACTGTCTAGTAATTCCAGCTAAGATACACACAGGGACGCCAGCAAGTTCCTTAACAACCTTGCACAGGACCTGTTTAATCATGAAATAGACATGATTCCGAAAACTAAGCAAAGGAATCTGCACTCACTCTGTTCTCTAAAAACACTTTTTCTCGAGTCACAGTGTGTTTATGTGTTTTTACAAACTACACACATCTCCCAGGCTTCACTTCCACACCTTAACAATGCCGTCCCTGGAGGCAGTCACGATGAAGCCCTGCGTGGTCTGGAAGGTGGCGACGTCCGTGATGATGTCGTGGTGGCCCACGGGCAGGGACTCCGGGCCCCTCCGCGGGCCGTCATCACTAGGCCCCACCTTCTGCTTGTTCTGAATCTCCTGTGTGGTGGTTAAAAGCAAGGAGAAGGCCACAGTCAGAGGCGGGAGCACATCCTACCGCCTGGCCGCACCCCTGCTTCTAAGGAGCGCTGCTCTTTGTTTAGGCCGGCCCTGGTTCACAGGAGTCACAGAGGCTTTCAGAGGCACTGAGCAAGGGCGTCACAGCAGAGCCAAAGAGACGGTCTAGGTGTCCAGTCACTGGACTCCATGCAGCCACTTACAAACATGGAAACTTACAGACAGGCTGATAACCTGTGCGTGTGACCTCCATCAGCTTCAAAGAAGAAAGGGAAAGAACTGGGAGGCAGCGACGATCAGGGCGTGGACACACGTATGTGCCCGACGCTCCAGCCCTCCCGAAGCTCGCTGCCACTCGTGACGGGGCGCTGCCTGCCCCACACTCACAGGAACGCCAGCTCCTCTGCGGCCTCTGCCCGACCCAGGAACCCCAGCTCCCAAGCCCCGCTGGCCAGGTGTGGGTCCCCGCGCTGCCGCTTACTAGCTGGCGGACCTGAGACCAGCTACTCCGCCTCGATGTGCTTAACCTTCTCATTTGCGGAAGGAAGATAATAAAGGCATGAGGTAGGACCCAGCAAGTGTTGCACGTGCTTACTGTGCCCCATGCATTTATACATGCACTTTCTATGTTCATTCTACCTTAGTAAACTCAATTTTAAAAATACAGAAAAGTCAAGAGAAAATAAAATATTTTTTAAATTCAAAGAAATACTGCCACTCTTGGCCAAAGCCATTTATGGTATTTATGTCAGCATAAATAAACATGATATTTATGTCAGCCATTTTTGTTCCTACAAAAGTTGAAAGGAAAACAAAGATCGCTCATACCTGGACGACTTCGGTGCCTTCAATGATTTTCCTGTAGTAGGACACAGATGGAGAACTCGTGCTCCCCGCAACGATGTACGACCTCTCTGGGTAGGCCAAGTCCCAAAACCTGGGGAGGAGGAGAGAAGGGACAACTGATCACTGACTGACACTCATCAATGCTGGTGTGTCTTCTTCTGCGTTCGGAAAAGAGGTTTTTCTAGACGAGCGTAAAATCAGTTACAAATGAAGTATTAACAGCTGTCCCTGCAAGATGTGGATGACTGCAAACATCATACCACTGCTGGTATCTATAACAAACACCCCCTTGTGGTAACCACTGTTAGTTACCATTCTCCTCTCAAGTGCTGAATGGGAAGTGTCTGCACTGTACCTTACTCTCAGGTCTGAGCCCGCTGTCAGCAGGATGGGACTGCACTGTACCTTACTCTCAGGTCTGAGCCCGCTGTCAGCAGGATGGGGTTCCCGTCTGCAGGACTGCAGTAGAGTCCGTGGACACTGTGAGAAGAAGGCTGAAGGAAGGAAAGAAATGGAGAGTCACGTCGCCCATAGAGGATGCAGTCACTTCTAGAGAGAAGTCAGCTATCAGCAGTTAACTGGAGAGACCAGAGACAGATCACATCTGTCTTAGATCTTTCTTTGGGAATTTAAGACACATTTGTTCTGCATCACCCTGAATGAAGAAGCAGAGCCTCCTCAGCGTCCTAAAACTCTCCATTTGGAATGAGAAGGATCCCAACTAAAGGAGGGAAAAACCTTTCCTACCCCCTGCCCCAACAAAGCACCTTAAAAAGTTATGTATGACAGGGTCACGTTCCGTTTCTTGAATGACCTAAGCTTTAATCTTTCCTTCTCTAATTAACCCACATTCTACTGGGTTTCCAAAGAAACGTCACAGACCTTATGGGCCTGGCAGCCAGAACACCCACAGAAGCAGACACTGGGGAACTGGAAAGCAGAGGGCAGCAATTCCGCCCTTACTAAAATCCAAGCTTACAGGACAACCCCCAAACCAACCAAGGATCGCGGCTGGCAAAGCCGCCTGCGCAACTGAGGGTGTGGGAGAGGATGCTGGCCTCACCTGTAGCTCAGACAGCGGGGGCGCACTGCTGGCCCAGAGCGTGAGCCTTCGGTCGCCCGTCTCCATGTCCCACATGGACACCTCGTTGTTGCCCTGGACAGCTGTGGGAGACAGGCCAGCGTTACTCGGACGAGGGTTCCGCGCAGCGAGTCCACGTCCTGGCAGAGGATGTGAGCCGGCGCACGCTTCCATTTGCTCCCCACCCTGTGGGAAACGCTCACGGACACTTTAAGCCACGCTGCCACCCTGCCTCCACGCTGAAGGACGAAAAGGAAATGTTCTGACAACCTACTGGGCAGCATTTACTGCCGTCCAGTGAGTATAGAGTGCACAAACAGAGTCTGCCCTCAAGAAACCTACAGTCTAGCGGGAAAGAAAAAATACGAAGCCTAAGACGGTGAGCAGAGAAGAGAGAAGGCAGAAGCCCAGGCGCACTCGGGGAGGACAGCTCACACTCGGGGGGCCGGATGCGCGGGGCCGCTTCGGGGAGCGCTGTCCTGGGACAGACACGGGGCACCGGGTCACAAGGGCAGGCAGGACGGAAGGAGCCGAGCACGCCCAGCCGTGTCCGAGGGGCGTGGTCGGACTGGGGCACGTCTGAGATGAGACGCGCGCAAGCAAGGGCAGAGGGAGACGCTGGGAACGGTCCCTGCACGCCTGAGGGGGGCCTTCTCGAAAGCACTTCTGAGCAGCGTTTTGAGGAGTGACAATACCCCAGCCTTCACTTCTTCATTAATGTTTACTGAACTGACTGTTTACTGTGA